AACTAGGGAAATCAACAGTTTTCATATAGAAAAAAGGAATAAAATTACCGGATTTTTGATCGGAATTTATGAATTTTTGAGAGAGAAATTTTAAAAAGTTAACTGAAAAAGATAATTCACACATAATGAATGAGTATTCATCATCAATACAATTTTACAGTTATCTCTGAAAATATGTTGTAAGTTCTTTCAATAGTAAGTCAATTAAATGCATTAAAATAGCATAATTGATTTGATTAGTTCCCTTCCATATAGTTGCCGTATCTGGTAAATATTCTAAAAAACGCAAAAAGAATACCGAAATTCTTATTACATATCACTTCATAAAGGAATCTTATAAAATGTAATATTATTATATTATTGTTTCCTTTAGTCTCTAGAGGAACATAGGGTTTCAGCCAAACGTCTCCATCGCGTTCGGTTCTCTGCCAACGTTCTCACCTGACTCCACGTTTGCCCACATGCTTCCATCTCCTCTTCACATCACCTTCGCACTGACAACCAACTCGCCACTTCCTATTCAAGTTCCACTCGAGCGATGGCCTGGTGTATGTTTTCACTTGGTGGTTTGTTTTCTTAGAGTATGGCCAATCCACCTCCATTTCACCCTACATATTTCTTGCGAAATTGGTTCCTGGTTAGCTCGCTCCCAGAGATCTTTCATTATTAGTGATCTTTTCTGGTCAGCCATCTGACCTCAAGGAAAGTATTGGGCGAAGACAGCTGTTGATGAAGGTCTGGAGTTTGTTTGAAATGCTCTTCGTGACGCAACAAGTCTCTGATCCGTATAGTAAGTATCACTGACTTCACATTGGAATTGAAAATCCGGATCTTATTTTTCATACTTGTGAAAAATGAAGGCTTGTCTTGTTTTCTCGATCCTCGCATTGATATCCTCGTCAGTTCCGCCTGTAGTTGAAACGATGATGCTTCCCAGGCCGGTAGGTAAAGGAGATTGCTCCTTCCACATTTCTCCCACTTATGCTGGTTGTTGTCTGTTGTTGTTGCTGTTGCTGTTGACCATCACCTTCATCACCTACGTTTTCCCTAAATTCACCTGAAGGAAGTTCTATCTTTGATGATTCTTCTATCGCCAACTTGTTGCTTTTCACTTGCATATCTTCCAGTTTGTGTGAAATCAGATATATATCATCCGTGAAGTCCGGATCCTCTAAGTTTTTATGTGGGTCCATTTTATGACTGTTTCCTCTCCGTGCGCTGTCTGTTTCATTATGCAGTCTTCTATATGTTTATACATATATAATGTCATTTGATTGATCACGGCTAACAAGGGAATCGTAGATGTATGTTTCGTCAGCTGTATATACCTACATCTCCGGTGAGTGACGGTAATCTCACTGACAATGGGACTCGGAATCCATCATTTTAAAATGGCTATTTGTTATCAGAGATAAAATAATTCGATCCAGCATAAATCAGTCAACGGGAAATGCTCAATTCGCAAACTATACCGAAATTTTGTATTCCAGTTCCTTGATGACACAGTTCGGGGAGGCGAAATTTAACTTGATTTTCCTTAGGAAGCCGAAAGTTTTCAGATCACAGTATGTGTGATCTGCTTGATACCATAAGTGGTAAGAAACCAACCATGAGTGTGTAAGACCATATACTACTGAGTGACTGAGATGAGTAGTCTTATACCCCTCACATCAGCCAGTAATATTTGCCAGCTAGATCACTGAAGCGATCTAAGCACCGTAAAAATATACAGTGTAATGCTATGAGTTGTAATTCACAAGTGTGAATAAAACTCTTTTCATTCTAAGCTGACATCATTCAGAGAACCACTGAAAACCAGAACTGGAGTACTGTACGGCTGTTTCATCCTGGTTTTGGGAATCATCGGCAGTACGCCCCCAAAGGAGTTCGAACCGGGGACCTTCTGGTTACAAGGCAAGCTAGGTCGTAGACCATTAAGGCACTGAGACCGGATTTAATGGCCATTCCACTAATTCCAACTTCTGCCAATGCAAGATATAGTGCAACCATTTCGTAATGTCTTCTTCGATGAGTTACTGCCTCACCTTCAACCTGCTGTAGCCTACTGGTCACGGCTTCCCACCAGAAATGATGTCAGCTCACGATGAAACCCTCCAGCCAATGAAAAACAATCCCTACAAAACCAATACTTTTAAATATTTTCATTTCTATTGAACAGTAATTAAATGGTTAAAAAAAATCAGCAGAATAATAATTCTGTGCATAATAAAGACAACATAATTCGGAGAAAACTCAATTAGAAAAATTAAATGCTCTACTCATCTTACTTCATTTATTAAATAGGATTAGTTAAATTAATAATTATTTAATTAGTTACACGGCAATCAGATATTAACGTGAAAGGGAGACCTCTTTAGCCATTAAGTATTGCACAGCATAATCATAACTGATATTACAGTTAAATTACCTTCATTTGGATAAAATTGGTTTTAAATGGATCAGATTTCTTAGAAGTCAACCTAGAACAGATACAATGTAACTTTCATACAGAAAGCTTAAAAAGCCTTACTTTCATTCCTCTCTTTCCCAGTGGAAAATTGAGCTTCAAGTATCAAATTTTCAGTATAGGTAGTGGTATTTTCATGGTGTGGGATTACTAGTCTCACGTCCAAAGTTTCCTCTTTTCTGGGCTTAAAATGGGCTAATAAATTAAGCAAGGTTTAACAGTTTATCAGATGAAGTTAGTCTTGTCAAATACGCTGACGATATGAGCGTCTTGCTTCCCATGAATTCCCCAGTGGGACTGTGGCAAACTTAATGGCTTTCTGTCGGACATAAGTCGGTGGTCTTAGTCATATGGTCTTACGGTAAATCCCTCAAAATGCCAGACTTGACTTCCCCTATTGACATACACGTGATCTACAACGACTGATTGGTACACATGATGCTTGTCGCGTAGAGGGGACTGGAATAGAAACCAAAACTAACACAAAATACCTTGGTTCGGTTATAACTTCTGACCTTACCTGGTCATCTCATATTTTGTCGATCTCCCATAAAAATTTTATGTCTAAGCTACTACATTAGGAAGCTAAGACAATCAGGAATCACACAACCTCTACTTTTACAATTTGTTAACTTCGATATCTTACCTATTGTACTTTGCTGCTCCCATTCAATCTTTCCTGGACTACTCTAGAAGGACTTTTTCATATTGCGAAGGGTATTGGGAGTCTTCAACAGGGCCAGTGGTGGGTAAATTAGTCAACGTGTCACTGTATTAGTTGATAGACTTCTGAAATCATGCGAGAAGTGGTCTGAATACATATTATTTGTCCTTCTACACCCTCTCTATTCTGAACTCACCCCTTTTACCTCATCTGGTAGAACTAGAAATCAGTACAAAAGATTATATACTCGTACTGCCAAGTATAGGAACTCAATTACACCATATTTCGCCAGTGTTTTACGTGATAGAGACTATGTTAAGCGCAAAACCTATGAATTACTACGTTGTTAGCAAAATAATCTACTTTTTTATTATCTCCCAATTATAATCTATGGTGGCACTATTTCAATTAAATGACAATCTTAGCTACTAACCTTATTATTATTTAATTTTTTGGTATATATATGATTTCACTGCATTCGACAGCGTCGATCGAGAGGTGATTTTGCAACTGCTTAGCTACTACGAGGTGCCATAGACAACAGTTACACGAAAATGCTGCATGCCAAGTTTTCCACAACGGGAAACTTACAGAACCCTTCGAAGTGACGACGGGAGTGAGGCAAGGCTGTCTACTACCGCCAATGATCTTCCTGACTGCAGTAGATTGGATAGTGCGACAGACAACGGGAAATGAGGAAACAGGCATAAAATGAACTCATACAAAAACTTGGAGGATCTGGACTTCGCCGATGATATATGTCTGATTTCCCACAAACTGGAAGATATGAAAGTGAAAAGCAACAAGTTGATGATAGAAGAAGCATCAAAGATAGAACTTCAAGTGAACATAGATAAAACAGAGGAGATGATTCCTGGAAAACAGCAAAAGCAACAACAAGAGAAAACAACCAGAATAAATGGGAGGAACTTGAAAGAAACAACCTCCTTTACCTACCTACCAGGGAAGCATCTTTTCAACTACAGGCGGAACTGATGAGGATATCGAAGCAAGAATCGGAAAAGCAAGACAAGCTTTCATTAGTCTCAAATCTGTGTGTAGGTCAACAGCACTCCTCAGCATCAAAAATAACATCCGGATTTCCAACTCCAATGTGAAGTCAGTGCTACTTACTATACGGGTCAGAGACATGGCGAGTCATAAAGAGCATCTCAAACAAACTCCAGACCTTCATTAACAGTTGTCTTCGCTCAATACTTGAAGATCAGATGGCCGGCCAGAAAAGATCAGCAACAGGGATCTCTGGAGATGAGCGAACCAATCAGAAACCGATTGTGAAACAAATAGGCAGGAAGAAATGAAGATGGATTGGCTGGCCATACACTGAGGAAACCATCAAGTGACATCACTAGACAAGCCATCGCTCGAGTGGAACCCGAAAGGGAAGCGGCGAGTTGGTCGTCAGTGCGAGGGTGACTTGGAGGAGGTGATGTGAAGAGGAGATGAAAGTGTGTGGGAAGACTTGGAGCGGGGTGAAAAAGTTGGCAGAAAACCGAAGGCAATGGAGACGCGTGGCTGAAGTCCTATGTTCCTCTAGGAATTAAAGGAGATAATAATAACAATAATCACTGTCACTACAATGACCAAATAAGCACTGTCATCTACAATCTTGTAATATTATCTTTATAATTGTTTTTATTGATACTCAAGTTAAATTGGATTCAGTATTGTACCAAATGCTGAAAATTCCACACTGTGTCATCAGTACTGTTTGGGAATAAAGCAAATTATCATTAATATTATTATTACGCTTATCTCTCTCTCTCTCATAAAACAAACAACTAATCAGTTGAGAGTTTTCACCTCAGATAAGATAATTTGTTACCAAAAGATAGAAAGAAACATTACCTTCAAGAATACTGAGTAACGAATCACTTCCTCGATTATTAAATTCTTTTATAAGTGTGTAAATATTTGTCTCCAAAAAACCTTCATTTACACATTCACTACTATACGATGCAAGTTTGAATAGCTCCGTTTTCATTGAAATCGGTTCAACACCAGAGGCGAATAGTCGACATTTATAGCTAGTAGAATGAACCAAAAGATCAATATATATATATATATATATATATATATATATATATAAGTAAGGATTGTCTTGTAGTTACTATTACAGGAAATTAGATTATGTGAGTGTGTTTAGTTAACGTAAGAGTTAGTTACTGAATCCATTAGATACAACGGATTACTTTTGATGACAAGACAAAACTGTCTAGTTGTTTAGACTCTTACAATTCAACATTAGTATTAAGGTCATTTCGCTGGATGATTCTACCAAAGTTATTTATTTATTCAGTTATATACTAAAAATTAGATAGACTTCATCTCAGTGTCTCTCAAGAAAGTGGAGACGCAGTCTTCAGAATACAAAGTCAAGAAGGGGAAGAAATGTTGGCTCGGATCATTGTCTACTGCAAGGAACCGTTGAGGTCACGGTGAAAAAAGCTTTAAAATAGACTATAGATAAACCAAAATTTAAGTTCACTACTCAGAAACTAAAGGACGAAACTGCAAATGACATCTTCACTGCAGCCATCAGGGAAAAGTCTCAGACACTATAGGGTATCATAGAGGAAACCCATATGAGAGAACACTAGAACTCCCTGAAGATGGTGATTATGGAAATCTCTTTAGCCATCTTAGGAAGTAAGAAGAGGCAGGGAAAGGAATGGCTTTCTACGGACAACTGAAATCTTATACAAGAGAGGGGCATAGTAGAGCAGAAGGTGAACCAGTGTAAAGATGAACAAAAAAGGCATTTCCTACAGCCTATCGCATACTTTTGTCGACAACCGCCTTCGCTAAATAATGAAGATCAACAACAACAAAAACAACTCTGTCAGAGAACAAATCAACAACGCATCGGTCAACAGATATGACGAAGGAAATAGAGATGAACTGGATACACTCTAAGGAGACCACTGAGTGACATCACTCGCCAGTCAGACCCTCAAGTGGAACCCAATGGGAAACGAATAGTTGGGATTGGATCCAAATGTGACGTGGAGAAAATAAAAGCTTGTGGACAATCTTGAACTACAGAGAACAGAATGAAATTGGGATGAGTTGCTGAAGCCCTGTGTTCTACTGAGAACTCAAAGAAATAACAACTTTACAATATATTTATATGAATATCAAAAGTCCCTGGAACTCTACTCCAAAATGTTTTCATACTTACAATACACATATGTTGACAAAAGAATCTGTCGATTACTAATAAGTTTAAGTAACAGTCTTACAGAACCGTTAGAGAATGGTCAGAGTTTTCACGGTGAAATAAGTAGATATATTCATACTGATTACATGAAGCAATTTAAGCTAATTTTCACAATGATCAAGGTTAAAAAGATTCATACCTAAGGTATTCTCTCTGTCGGATATAAATCTTTGCTTGGGATTTATTGATCGATATTATTAAATCATTTTTACTGATTTGTAAGAAATCAGTTATCTTATAACATTTACACTTCATTAATTCTCTAAATTCTAACAGAAATTTATGCATAATCCTATGTGAAGCTTCAGATATATTCTCTTTGCTTTAAGTTGTAATTGGGCAATTTTCTTCATGTTGCTAATTCCCCTAAACAAGGATGCAAGGGATAGTTGTTTCATCCTAGTTCGAGGCTATTCAACAGAAACGAATTCTTACTGCAGCACTTCGCATACAGGTACAACAGTTCAATTTGCCAGACTTCATAAAAGCATACATAACGATATGAAAAAGAATTGGTAAATGCTAGAATTCAAGTATCACTGGAATCTAACTCGGTGACCAGTTGGTTAATAGGTTCATCTTGAAAACCTGAAGGTCGTGTGTTCAATCCCTAATGAACTACTGGTGGTATACTGCTGAAGAGTCCCAGAGTAAGTCAGGATGGGTGTGCAGTGTTTATTGGCTTTCAATGGTCGGCTAAGTAATGTCGGCTGGTGAGGGAACTCATCTTGAGATCTTCCATACAGCAAGTTGCTTGGGGTTCCAATAAGAAGTCGTAACCAGAAGTGTTTACCAGGGTCAGGCAAGAAGACTGTTACTCGCCTATGGCACTGGCTGGCGATTGCGCTAAACACGTGTATCATGAATCGGCAGATGTTGGAAATCATGGACCATTAAGCCAGGCCCGGCGGCTGTAACCGGAAGGTCCTAGGTCCGAACCCCAGTGGGTGAGTACTGAGAAAGATTTTCAAACCAGGACAAAACAGCCTCCAAGTACTTCCAGGTTTTCCAATAGGTTCTCTAACTGATGTCAGATGGTGACCAATGATGTGATCCCTATTCTGTTTAGACTATTTATAAAATGTAAACATTTGAAGAAGAAATGAAAAGAAATATTTAAAAAAAATAACCTTTGTACTATATATTGCACAATTTGATACTTGGAGTTGACATTTAATGGTAATTCTTGAGTGAGATATCCTAACTTGTGCATAACTGAAACCATACCAAGCATTGGATCATTAATTTGACGCAAATTCTTTTGATTTACTATAACTGTAGGAGTAATTATTGCACTCTGTTTGGCTGATTTGTCTAGTAAATGTATCGAGAAGTAAAACAAAAGATTAGTATACAAGGTTGAAAAATATGTCATTACAAATGAACTAGCCTGTTTGAATGCAGTACGAAAAACGGAGAATTGTATTAACACTTCATATGTTATAAACAGTAGGTTTGAAATCTACACAGCAGTTCACTTCGGTCTAATGAACGCAAAAGTATGTACGCAAAAATATAAGAATTATATATGTCGAAACCAAGTTCACTCCTAACGGTTTGAAAAAATTTGGGTATTGGGTATATGATATTCATTATAATAAAGGTTTCTTTGTATTTCCCAATGAATCAATGAAAAACAAAACCATATTGCTGCTCTTACTGACGTTTCGCTATTTAATGCTGCTCCTAACAGCTTTATCAAAGTATTATTAAACCGGAATTTACAAAATCCACTCAGCATATATATAACAGACTTAAGGGGTGAGAAAATAGACTTAGTTCAACTTAAAAGGACATATTGAAAGTCAAAATAACAATGAAGATCACTAAAACCAAATATCAAATGTAATAGTATATCTGTTATTATATCAAAACAAAGTTTACTAACTTGATCATCGTTCGTCAGTCTGGGGACATTTTTGGTTGTCAAGTTGGTCAACTGGTAAAGATAACTAAACCAGGTGTAGATTGTTGGATTTCATCAGTGTGTAAAATTATGAAAGTAGTGTGTGTGTTTACATAGTGAACTTGCTTATCACATTTGTGTTGATTTTGCCACTTCTATAAAATAAAATGTTTGGAATGTGATGCGATCTACATCGGACAAACATCTCGAGAAATCAAAATCAGAAGAAATGAACGCCGTCGAGCATCTATTCGACCACCGAGAAATCCAATTGAACTAGAAAAACTTGAAAAGTCATCAGCCATAGGTCTACACGCTATAGAATCAGGCCACAAAATTTAATTTGACAATATTGAAATAATCCAGAAAAACTTCAGAAATCACAAAGAACGTCTAATATCAGAAGCACTTCATATTAAGTGGAATCCAAATTGCCTGAATAGAATGATGGACTAAAACAGAATCTGACCTGATTACAACACCCCCCTCCCTCATGATGTGGCAAAATCAACACAAATGTGATAAGCAAGTTCACTATGTAAACACACACTACTTTCATAATTTTACACACTGATAAAATCCAACAGTTGATGAATGGTGGCTAGCAGTGGAATCCAGGATGCGCATTTCGTCCTATTCGGGACTCTTCAGCTGGATGTACCTGCATTTCTCAGTGAGTGATGATGATGTTATCACCGAGGCTCGAACCCAGTGCCCATAGTTTCAAATGCCAAAGCGTTATCTTGGATTCCACTGCTAGCCACCATCCACCAATTGTATACTAATTAAATGCCCAGACATCGTCGAAGCATCTGCACAAGAAGCCGACATGTCAACCTGAGACCGAGCACTTCGGTCCAATCAATCGACGGGAAAATCAAAAATTCAATTCAATAGACTTAGTTTTGTTTTCTTTATCAATTCACCAGCTTGACAACCAAATGATCCCAGACTGACGAACGATGATCAAGTTAGTAAACTTTGTTTTGATATAATACCAGATATACTATTGCCTTTGATATTTGGTTTTAGTGATCTTCATTGTTATTTCGACTTTCAATATGTCCTTTTAAGTTGAACTAAGTCTATTTTCTCACCCCTTAAGTCTGTTATATATATATGCTGAGTGGATTTTGTAAATTCCGGTTTAATAATACTTTGATAAAGCTATTAGGAGCAGCATTAAATAGCGAAACGTCAGTAAAAGTAGCAATATCGTTTTGTTTTTCATTGATTCATTGGGAAATACAAAAAAACCTTTATTATAATAAAAGTATAAGAACATGATTAATACTGAGCTTAGGCGTAGAATGTCAGGTAAGAAAGACAAATGAGTCGATGAGGTTGTGAAGCCACATCGATTGAGATGGCTAGGATACGGAGCCACTGTCTTCCTTGACGAGCATTTTTAGCTGAGATTGCATTAGGTTGGGAAAAAGTCAGGGTTAGTCAAATCAAAGCCTGGCATCAATACATAAGATGTTTCACTTTATCTGTCAAGTTGAAACATTTTGGATATAAAATTTTTCCTGTCCTTTCAAATGTACTGTAAAGAGACATGTTTTAGTCTTTTAATATATCATTAGATAATTGATGATGAACATAAACAGCTCACCTGTGTGACATTTTCATCCTATAAAATAGAACTTTTAACTTCCATATTTTAGTAGAACACAAGGTGTAATTAACCATCAAACAGGCATCAGTCGATTACTCATAAACAAAGTGAAATAAATAAATATAAGATGAAAATTTGGAAAAGAGGAGGTTAGCTGGTGACTATCTGCTTAGAACTTGAGTTGACGAATAGTATGATTTGGAAAAGCATTCATATTGCATGCACATAGATGAAAGTGTTAATTTGGACACAGTTTAGTTTATTAATAATCTGAGACACCAAGAAAGGATTTATTCAAAGAAAAGTTGTATCAGGTAACTATAGTAATATAAAACAGAAATATGGTAAGTATATTGTATCTCTCTGTGTCCTTTTCTTGTTTATTTCATCTTATAAGACTTGTCACTTCAAGCTAAAGTCATCTTGGTTAAATATTCTGCTGATTTGACTGTCTTTTTACCAGTGTAACGACAGAAGACGAGGGCCAGACAGCAGATTGTTTATTGAAAAAATCAACACGTATTTATAAATTTTGATGTACACTATCATTAGCGTTATTGTTAGCAGAGAAGCAACGTCTTATGACTAGTTGTTTTTTTGCTGAAGGCTATTCTGTACTGCTTGTGACCGTTTCTTAGAAAGTCAAGCTATATGTCTGTGAATCGTATTCGCACACGTTGAGTCTGCTGTGATTGGTTGGTGAGTTCCTGAAGGTTAAGCTTTCTTATTGTTTTTTCTCATGACTGCGATTCGGGTGGTAACAGTGACGTGAATTGCTGTCTACAGTTTTTGGCATTTCATCAGTTACTTATCGATTTGACTATTTCAAACGAAACAGCTTTCTGTCGGACATCAGGCAGCGGTCTAATTTAAATGTTCTTAACTTAAGTGTCAGACAATAAACTTGACCTTCAAGTATAATTGTGATCTACAAAAACTGGTCTATTGACCTGATTCTTGTAGAATGAAGAGCATTAAATCAGAAACTAAGTCAGGCACTAAATATCTCGGAATGGCTTTTCCTTCTAACCTGCCTTAGTTGCCTCATTTCTTGTCAATTTCCGATAAAATGTTATGCAAAACCTTCTACATTAAGAAGTGAAGACGGTCAGATCTCACTCGACCTCTATTTTAACAATTTGTCAACTCTTTCATCTCATATAGTGTCCCGTATTGCTTCCCTCAGTCTTTCTTGGGCTATTCAAAAAGGACTATGTCATATTCCGAAGGGTATTAAGGGTTTTCAGTAGGGCAAGTGATGCCCCACTATGTCAGGTCGTTGTCATTGTAGTTGACTGACATCTAAAAACATGTGACAAATAGGCTTAAGCCATATTGTCTGGCTCTAATTATCCTCTTTATTCACAACTTAGCCTTTGCTGCTCATCAGGGATGACTAGAAGTCATTATCAAGGATTACATGCTCGTACAACTAAGTGCGAGAATTCGCCCTGGCCCACGTTCTATGTGATAAATAAAGCGTTAAGCTTGAAATTTATAACTTGCTTTATGATTATCAGAAGAAGAAAGTCTTTGATCTCTTATTTGTAATTAGTGGTGACACTATTTCCATTATTTTATAACTTTAGCTATTACTATTATTATCAATCGACTCTTTGCCCACATTTTGAATTTTGTTGTTATGGTGAACTCCAGAAGTTGTTATGTTTTAGACAGTTGGAGGCAATCGGCTGGAAGCTTTGGCTAAACCTCGGTTTCGTGCTAGTTGGCGCTCGTAAGCGAGGCGTATCTGCAACCTTGATAGAACTCATGTCCTTTCTTAGGTTCGAACTCGCGTAAAGTCTCTGACTGCATCAGCATTGGGTGACGTAGGTTCGAATCTCAGTCGGGACATGAGTTCCTTCAAGGTTGCAGACATACCTTGGTGACGATTGCCAACTAGCAGAGAACTTAGACCGAAGACTACCTGCCGATTGTTTCCAAACATCTAATACCAACAATTCACAATGTATCAGGATGATGCATCACCTAGCACGGTGGCCACATTGCAAACTTGACTGACTGATAGAATTCAGTCTGCACCAAACAAAAGACTAGAGACATTACACTAGTTACTGACTAGTGTCCAATCAAAGAAGCTGTTTTGTATACCTATGCCATGTAATGCTCATGTTTTGAGTAAATTTTAGGCAATATTATATCAAACGCCGAGAATTCCTTGCTGTTTCATTAGGAATTGTTTTTGATTAAAGCAAATTATTATTATTATTCAGATGACTTACTTTCAGGATTCGAAGTCACCTTTGCATCCTGTGAAAGTAAGAAAACAGTCTGTTATTATTGATAATAATAAAAGATAACATTTTTTTTACAAGAAAAAGTTATAATTTAGATTTAATTCACTGTTTATCAATTTAAGTTGATGGCTCAAGGGTGGGACACTTGCAAACTATACACGCTGTCTTTTATCCACACCTTAAATCTCGAGTAGGTTACTAGACAACGATAAGTTTGGAAAGAAGTTGGCCTAACGAAATTTGTGTCAATGCTATTATGGCTCATAGAAAGCATCAAAATAAATAATACCTAATTGATGAACTGCTGTTATTGACCTCAGTATATTGAGCACCGTTTAGATGTAGTGTTTTCTCAGTGAATAAAGACCGAGTCTTTCGACAGCACATAGAAATCCTACCGTATTTTATGTCTTGATAACCCAAGTTGTTCACTTTCATCATTGTGAAAATAGTTTGACTAAAATACTACCTGCAAACATATGATTTGGGAAGATTGTGAGGAATACAAGTTTTCATGATCTGAGAAAATAGTTAGTATCAAAAAAGCCTCTAACTAATTCACTGTCCACATACGTGAAAAATGTTAATTAACTATGAAAAATATTGAAATCTAAACGTGTGGTTTATGGCATGAGATTTATAGTCAAAATAACCATAACTTTCAAGAGTTACTTCGTAGGCAGTTGATTTGTCTGAAGTTTAATCACGGATTGATATCATTCAGAGAGCAACTGAAAACTAGGGAGTAATGGACAGTTGTTTTGTTCTAAGTTGGGATTCTGATGGTCAAGCTAAAATCACGAATTCATAGAGGCTAGAAGACACTGTCCATTGGATCGGGTGCCAATAGCTGAATGGTCAACGAGCTTGCCTTGTAACTGTACCACCCAGGATTCCAATCCCGGTGGATGTATACTTCTGAAAGGTCTCAAAGTAGGATGAGACAGCTATTCAGTATTCTCTGATTCCCAATGGTACTTTAACTGACATTAATCCACGATCAAGCTTGACATAGCCATTAATGTTTTATATAAGTCTAGCGTTGCACAAGTGGTGAAGAGAGCGTGAAATAATAACTATTATGCTCAGATAGTGTATTAACTAATCACAAGGGATCGACTCGGTTATTCTGAATATTACTGAATTGCATAACATTTTGCTTATACTAACAAAAAACTAATACTAACAAACAAAACTGGAGCATCTGAACTTCACCAATGATACTTGTTTGATTTCTCACAAACTGGAAGATATGCAAATTAAAAGCAACAAGTTGGCGATAGAAGAAGCACCAAAGATAGGAATTCAGGTGAACATAGAAAAAACAGAGGTGATGAAGATTCCTAGCCAACAGCAACAACAACAGACAACAATCAGCACAAATGAGAGGAATCTGAAAGAAGCAACCTCCTTCAACTACCTAACTCGGAAGCATCGTTTCAACTACAGGTGGACGGAACTCATGAGGATATCAAAGCGGTGAGAATCGAGAAACCAAGACAAACTTACATTTCTCTCAAATAATTGCAGAGATTATCAGGACTTTCAACTCCAATGTGAAGTCAGTGCTACTATACTGATTAGAGACTTGGCGTATCATGGAGTGCACTTCGAAAAAACCACAGGCCTTCATCAACAGTTGCCCTCACTCAATATTGCCCTCAAGATCAGATGGCCAGAAAAGAACAGCAACAGTATGGGATCTCTGGGAGCGAACCAACCCAGCAGGAATCAATTGTGCAACAAATATGCAGGAAGAAATGCAGTTGGATTGGCCATGCTCTGAGAAAACCGTCAAGTGACATTACACGCCAGGCCATCGCTCGAGTGGAACCCGAACAGGAAGCAACGAGTTGGTCGTCTTTGCGAGGGTGACATGGAGGTGGTAATGTGAAGGTATAAAAGCACGTGGGCAGACGTTGAGCCAGGTAAAAACATTGGCGGAGAACTGAAAGCAATGGAGACGTGTGGTTGAGGCCCTGTGTTCCTCTAGGAACTAAAGGAAACAGTAATAATAAGTAATAAATAACAAACTCATTTACATTTTAAAGTCTCTTTATAAACAGTACTCACGTTGCTCAAATTATCAGAATTAATTTCAGTTTCATTTTTATCTAACTTAATTAGATTTTGTTGCGAAGTATTTGAAGAACTGCAAAGGTTACACATGAATGTATTCTGAAATTCCTTCAATCTTCCTCTAAGTTTTAAACACTTCAGATGTGAAGCATCCAGATGGGACAAAATATTGTCAGTCAGGTAAGCACCAACACCTAAAAGTTAGAAGAGAAGATGAAGAATAATTCAAGCTATTGGAAATTTCTTCTGTTTTAATTTATCTAAGTGCTTTTTTTACAGATGTGTACAGAAAACTCCCTATCATTATTATTTTGGAGAATTGGTTTGTAGGAATTCTATTTGCTTCAGGTAAGACCATGGAATGATATCAGTTAGAGAACCACTGAAAACCAGCTGTGAGTACTGGACAGCTTTCTAATCCTAATTTGAGACTCATTGACAGTACATACCCACTGGGTTTGGAATCCAGGACCGTCCGGTTACAGGGCAAGCTCGTATACTATTCAGCCACTGGGACCCAGCTGAGTGGCCACTCCATGAATCCTAACTTCTACATATTCGTGATTTAGCATAAACATGAACCAACGCCATCGGCGGGAACTCCATCTCTACTCCCAACTTGAAGCACCCCAATGGTCACGACTTCTCACTAGAAATCCATGAAGCTCCATCCTGTAGTGGGTCAATAGTGAGCATTAGCATCAGCTTGTCTTGTAACCGGAAGGTCTTGGGTTCAAAGCTTATTGGGTGTGTACTGTCCATGAGTCCCAAACTAGGATGAGAAAGCTAACCAGTACTTCCAGCTGGTTTTCAATGTTTCTCTAACTGATACCAATCCATGGTCTAACCTGAGGCAAACAGAATAGAATCTTGAAAATTGATCTGATACTCGCTAGTGACTTGCTACAAGATGGAGCTTCATGGAGTTCTAGGGAGAAGTTGTGACCAGTGAGGTCAATATGAGGGGTATGTAGTATCTTAATAACCATTTATAAATACTTCTTTGGCATAATAACTGGAAGCCATACTGAAAATGGTTATCGAGTAATTATATAACAGGAGGGATTTCTGAATTATGGAACCAAATGTACTCATAAATAATGCATGCGAACAATCATGTTTTAATTTCAATTAACACAATATCAATATGATTATTCATAAGTATATTACTCAGGAATTGACCCTGAAGTGATCGTGATTTAATTAAAGATTGTTTATTTTAAATACAGTAATGAATATAAGGGTCTAATACACCATCAAACAATAAAGAATAACTGGAATAATTATGTGTGCGCAATACGAATGTGTGTTTGAGTTGAACTTTGATGATACCTTTAAATAAACCTGTAAGATATTCAAGTATTGGTTTGTAGGGATTTTGATTGATTGGTTACAGAATTTCATCATGAGCTGACATCAGTTAGAGAACCTTCGGAAAACCACTTGGGAGTACTGGACAGCTGTTTCATCCTCCGAGTTCTGGGCTGTTCACACTATGCACCCACCGCCAGAGTTCGAAATGAGGTTCTTCTGGTTTCAAGGCGAGCTAGTTCATAGACCATTAGGCCATTAGGGCCCCAACTCAATGGCCAATTCACGACATAGCGCGACCGCTAGCCAATGTCTTCGGCAAATACTTGTCCTCACACCCAAGCTGCTGCACTCTACTGGTCACGATGTCCCACTAGAACCCCAGATAACTAATAAAAATAATTTGCTTTATTCCAAAACAGTACTTGTGATACAGAATGGAATTCTCAGCATTTAATTACAGTACTGCATCCAGTTAGTACATGAACTATAACTAAAATTCTACATAGATTAAAGTTATCTCAGTCAGTTTTCACAACAACATATTAGCATGTCGGTATCAAAGCCGAAATTGAACAAAATGTTTGAAGGTGTTGGAAAAGTAGATGCTAGCATATTTACTGGCGTAATCGGTAACAAAAGGTCGAGATATACAGAATGTGAGAGAATCAAGAATAATGTTTTAATAGAGTTTTTAAGGAAGAGAGAAACAAAACAGCACATAACAAAAATAAATACAGAATGAAAAAAATGGTAGAGAGAAAACGTTGTACCTGTAAATGATGTGAGTTGGAAAGACGAGATCCATTTGTTCTACTGACTATTTATAAGTTAATGGTTTCACGCCTAATGCTTTCTTTATCGCACAGAACACGAGCTAAGTAGGGTATGGTTGATTTTTGTACTTACTAGTACGGGCATATAGTTTCCTATATAGGCTTCTGGTTTTCCCTGAAGAGATACATGGGGAGAGTTGTGAATGTAGAGGGTGTTGTGAGTCAGATAAAATGGATTTCGCCCATTTTTCACATGAGTCCATGTGCCTGTCGACCAGAATATTAACAAGCTGGTTAAGTGGGACGTTGCTTACCCTGCTGACAACCTTTAACATCCTGAGTAATAAGGTATAGTCTTTCTTCGATAGCCCAGGAAAAACTAAGGGGGAGCAACAGAGAATAATAGCCAGGATGTAAGAGATAACGAATCGTAGGAGTAAGAGTTGGGTTATACCAGAATGTCTTAACTTCTTGATGTAGAAGGTAAGACGGAATATTTTCTTAGAAATCATCAAGATATAAGGCGATCAGGAAAGATCAGGAGATAGAATGACGTCTAGGTATTTAATTTCCGACTTGGTTTCGATTTCAGTACCATCTATGTTGCACACCTCTTGAGTGCTAACCAGTTTGTTTTGGGTCAGATTTATGCCTAAAGGTGAAAGTGACTGTTTGAAATTTAGAAGGATTAAAGGTTAGACCGTTTTGCTTGGGTCAACTAACTAGCTCAATAGGGCCAGTCGCTAGTGAGCATCTCACGCAAATGTTTTAATACGGTTGAATTTTTGTTACATCTTAAAAGGGAACAACTTATATGACATCTAGTAGATAGGTGTCAAAATTAAAGTATTTTTGTTCTCGAAGACAACAGATGTTCGTTAACTTGAAAATTTCCTGAACTGATCTAGTATCTTTATATAACTTAGAATAAAGAAATTCTAAATAATATTATTTATAACGATAATCGTCCAAAAAGATTCCGAAGGAAATGGAGATTGACCAGACAACTATATTGACTGAGTGAGCCAGTCAAATGTAAAACGACGAGTTGAGCGTGTGACATGAAGGAGATCGTACGAGGAGGAGATGAAATTTTACGGCTAATCGTGGAGTCAGTTAAACAGGGCTGAAGAGAACAGGACAAAGTGGACATGTGCTGTTGAAGCCCTTATATTTCACTCGGAACCCGACGGAATAATAATCAATAATATTCAAAAATTATGTAGACAACAAGGGATTTAGATTGTTTATGCACATATTTCCACTTATAAGGTTCAAGTTGGATTTCTGGCCAACGTACACCTCCATCCCGTTTCGTTTGTTAGCTGATAGTAACCCCAGAAAAGAGGAAAGATTGAGTGTGAGAATAGCAAACCCAGTTCTTAAAAACCACCTTATTGATACTAAAAATTAAAGGTCAAAGAACTACCCTACGTTTTAACATATGAACATAAGAAATGCATTATTTATTTAAATGGTGTATATATTTAGTAGACTTACCAATAATATCAGGTCTTTTTCTGGGATCAGGATTAAGACATGCTCGAATAACTTCGTCTATCAAATTAGAATATCGATTTGAACATTTAACTTTCACTGAGTCATATTCACCTTTAACAATACGTGATGCAGTGCTTAGAATACACTCGCCTTGAAATGGTGATATGAATGTACACATTTGATAGAGAATACAACCTAAAGCCCAAATATCTGCACCTTCATCGTAAGGTAAATTTTGAACTATTTCAGGGCTGAAATGTTCAGAATAAATGGAAAAACAGCAGACATTTTTAAATATGCAACTTTTAGAAAGGGTGAATAAAAGTAAAATGCGATTTCCATATTTCAACAAAGTCTGACTGATGTTTTAAACTTCATGACAAATGTTTTTTTAATTCCTTAATACAAGACAACTTAGAGAGAGTATATTGGCTCTGGAGACGTATCTGTATCGGTTGGAAATCTAGCAGCTGGCGTTTACATGTCATACATGTATACATGGATGAAATCTAAATCTTTGAAGTGGCTCAATTCATCCTTTCAAAGTGATGTAGACAGTCATCCGGAAGTGTCAGCGTGTAAGTGATTTAATAGTAAGGTATACTTGGCGAACACATGAGCCAAGGCTTTGATTATCAGACAACTCACTACTGACTAACTAACTGAATTCAACATAGAATTTTGCACCGATGTGCACCAGTTCCAGTCGCCACACTTCAATCACAACAAAAACCAAGAGAAGAAGAAGAAAGTAAAAAAAGCAATGCAAAATACAGACAGTAAACAGAGATATCAGGTAAAAAGAATTGTTATATCGAAGAACAATATAGTTTTATTGGGTAATATAAGTCACAAGGAGTGCATGCACCTGCGCCAGCCTTTGAGAACGATGAGTTTGAGCCATATCACCAACTGTCTCCAGCCGTTGGTGTTTAACGTCCCGAGGACCCCAACCAGTCAGGAAGTCTACACCTTCCTACGTGGCTAGCTGGCTTAAACTGACTGTTGTGGATTTCATTGACTGATTTCACGCCTAATCAACTAGCCATTAGTGAACCTCCAAAAGGGAATGTTAGCTGTGAGGTTTCCAACACTACTGCCAATAAAACATGATAATAACAGCTTTATTCTCCAAAGTTCATTTAGATACAATGCAGATTTCTCAGTGAGTCTCATAGCAAGGTATTTACTCATTGATATAACACGAGAACTTGGGCAGAACTTGTGTAGAGTATACTTCCATTATGGAGAAAATTTATTTTGATAAAGTCTCATAGTATTGTACAATAATATTTACTGATGACGTTTCAGGCACAATTTATTGGTCATAATCATAAACGATGGCAACATCCTGTGAGTAATCAAGGAAAGTAAGTGTTGTTTGCATATGGCGTGCTTCAAAATCCAAACTGACTTGAAAGGCAACCCACTGGTTAAATAAATATAGGGATTTTTATAAGCTTTTTCAAGGTTAGGAATATATAGAACACCTCAGCTGCATTAAATGCTCTAAAAGAAGCATTCTTTAGAAGTTATAAATCAAATTCACAATTTTCAAGGTACGCAGTTCTAGGAGTGAGACTGTCACCATAGTTTCTTTTGGAAACGAAATTATTCAGATCACAAAATGTGATCTGCTTAATAGCATAAATGATAATCAAGGAAGCTAGTGTGTTTACATAAAACTGTAAACTACTAACTGATTGTGGTGAGTAGTTTAACACCACTTCATTATCGACCACTAGTACTTGCAAGCCAAATCGATGTGATCTAAATACCAGACGGCGGCGAAGCCGAGATCCACAGCAGTTTGGGCAGTTTGTCTAAGGGGAGAAAGCCGAATCCGACTGACTGTCTGATTCACTGGTTTTAACATAGAACTTTGCATCGATATGCGCCAGTTCCAGTCGCCACACTCCCTCCATGTAGCACACAAAGCAAGGGAAGAAAGTAAAAAACAATGCAAAATACAGACAGTAAACAGAGATATCAGGTAAAAAGAATTGTTATATCGAAGAACAATATAGTTTTATTGGGTATTATAAGTCAAAAGGAGTGCATGCACCTGCTGCAGCCTTTGAGAACGATGAGTTTGAGCCATATCACCAACTGTCTCCAGCCGTTCGAGGACCCCAACCAGTCAGAAGTCTAAACCTTCCTACGTAGCTTAAACTAATTGCTGAATCGGTTCAAACTAGCTAATTTGATAATGGCGAATTCCATTTATTGTGTCACCAGTTCACCCAAGTAGCTCGTCAAAAATCAGGTGGTTTGACCTGTTTCGACTCTTTAGCTGAGTCAAAATCAGGTGAACCACTGAAGAACTCAACCCTAAAGCATCAAAACGGCCGCCCGGTGTTTAAATCTCTTCGATCTGGCTACCAAGCATTAAAAGTAGGCATAGATAGTATACAACTACTCATTACAACAAATCAGTAGTATGCAGTTTTATGCTTCATTCCAGAAGTTATGCGTGAACTTCACTAATAATATAATATAGTAATATATATATATATATATATATATATATATATATATAATACGACCAAATGGCAGGCAAGATAGAATTAGCAACAAGCTAGTCTGGGAACGAACTAATCAAGAATATATTGCTCAACAAACATAACGAAAAAATGGAGATGGATCGAACTCACACCAAGGAGACTGTTGGTTGACATTACTCACCAGGCTCTCAAGTAGAACCCTAATAGGGAAAGGTAGGTTGAGCCTGAAGGCAGGGGTAATATGGAGGAAATCACGTGAGCAGGAGATGACAGCTTGTCGGGGAATCATGGAACCAGCTACAGAGGACTGCAGAGACCGGGTAAAAGTGGAGATGTGGTGTTAGGGCCCTAGTTTTCACTCTGAACCCAATAAAATAATACAATATAGTGATAGGTTGCTTTTGATACAATCATCAGACATTCTAGCCTTCCCTTAAGCCAACAGAATATCTGTACAATTCCATACTAGATAAGTTTACTTCGATTTGACACAGTATAAATAACAGCTTGACTTTTCTTATTCGCACCAACTTGTCGGCAGTGTGACTGATTTTATGCATAAGATAACTCCCAGGAAGATTTAAGAGAAAGTTTATTGATATATATCAGCAAAAATTATTACCAAGCATAAACCAATGTACCAACAGTGGATTTTGTTTCACATGAGCCGAAATTTTTGTGATACGCCAAACCGAAATCTGTTATAGTAGCCTTAAAAAAGAAACAAAATAATAACAAAAAAACAATTATTTCACATTGAATAATACTTTGGCGTTAATCTTTTGATAATTATTGACTTGCAATGGAATCCAGGATGTGTATTTCGTCTTACTGGGGACTCGTCAACTTGATGAACAAGCACTAGCTACTGAGTGATGGTATTCCTACTGAGGCCTAAAAACAGAACTCGGAAACGTTTATTACACTTTCAAAAGTAAATCAAAACTGATATCATGGTCTAGAATGAATAATTCTGGTATTCGAAATGAAGACCACACTTCAACAATACGTAGAGAGATCACTTCAAAATAAGTAAAGTTATGCTCAGACATCTAGAACGTTATTCACTTTGGCATAAAAAAATATTTCTAACTATTGCTGTGATCATGGGTAGTAATTTTGCAAGACAAGCTTTCATTAGTCTGAAATCTGTGTGTAGGTCAACAGCCCTCCTCAGCATCAAAAATAAGATCCGAATTTTCGACTCTAATGTGAAGTCAGTGCAACTCTCTATACGGGTCAGAGACATGGCGAGTCATAAAGAGCATCTCAAACAAACTCCAGACCTTCATTAACAGTTGTCTTCGCTCAATACTTGAGATCAGATGGCCGGCCAGAAAAGATCAGCAACAGGGATCTCTGGCGATGAGCGAACCAATCAGAAACCGATTGTGAAACAAATAGGCAGGAAGAAATGGAGATGGATAGGTCATACTCTGAGAAGAGAAACCAGTAAGTGACATCACTAGACAAGCCATTGCTCGAGTGGAACCCGAAAGGGAAGCGGCGAGTTGGTCGTCAGTGTGAGGGTGACTTGGAGGAGGTCATGTGAAGAAGAGATGAAAGCATGTGGGCAGACTTGGAGCCAATTGAAAACTCTTGCCGAGAACTGAATTCAATGGAGACGCTCAGCTGAAGCTCTATGTTCCTCTAGGAATTAAAGGAAATAATAATTATTGAAATAAAAAAATGTATCATTATGTACCAACAACAATTGAAATATTTTTATTTCAATAAATTTCGAGTGGAACATAGGGTTTCAATACCATATCTACACTTTTCCTGTTCTTCGCAGTCTGCTTTAGCAGTTCCAGTAGGCTGTCATGAGCTTCTCAGACGATCTCCTCCATGTCACCGTCAGACGCCCAACTCGCCTTTTCACACTCGCATTCTACTCGAGGACCTACCTTGTGCGTGATGTCACTCAATAGTCTCCTCAATGTATTTCAGATCCATTTCCATCTCTTTCGGCATATTTGTTGGACGATAGTTGCTTGGTTGGTTCAATGACACAGTTCCCTGTCGCTAATTCTTTCTGGTCTGCCATTTGATCTTCATTATGGAGCCAGGCTGTTCGAAATGTTTTTCGTATCACACCATTGAAATATGTCTATAATTAATTGAGAAACTTTTTCACTTCGACCACCTTTTACAGACTATTACCGTGTACTTGATATGCAAATGTATCTTCGGATTCGAATCATAATTGACTAACTTAGGGTGTTATGTTGGTGATATCTGTCTGTCTATCTTTCTAGCCGTCTGTCGGTCCGTCAGTCTATCTAACCATCTCTTTGTCTGTCTACCTGACGTATGTCTGTCAGACTATGTGTCTATTACTATCAAGACTGCATCCAAAAAAATGAATAAATAAGCTTATCAATATAACTTGTAGAAACATTCATTCACTTTACCTTATCGCCTTCACTAATCATTATATTATTCGAGGATAAATCTCTATGTAATATTTTCTTTTCTTTATGTAAATAGCGTATTCCCAATATCAGTTGAATAAATATATCCCATACACGTGATTCAATGAAATAGGTGTTCTTCTCTTTCATAGACAACAGTAGTTCAGTTAATGATACACCTTCCAATAATTCCATTACAATATACAAGTGATCACCTGTTTGGTTTTTAAGGAATAAAACAATGTCGAGGTCAATTTACTGTTAAGTTAAAACATACATATATAGTCACAATATGAGTGTCGCTAGTGATGTAGTGATAGAAATATCAAGAGAAGACAGGAAAGACCATAACTAAAGTAAAAACAGAAAGTTTAAGATGTGACAGTAACTCATCGAAGACGATATTGCGAAGTGGTCACGCTATGTCATGAATTCGCAGGAGTTAGAATTCATAGTTTGGCCATTGTATCGGCTCCCAGTGGCTTAATGGTCTAAAAGCTAGCTCCCTTGTAACCAGAAGATCCTAGGTTTGAACCCCTGCGGTGAGTCCTCACCGCTGAAGCGTCTCAAACTAGGCTGAAACAGCTGACTATCCAGTACTCCCAGGTGGCTTTCCAATGTTTCTCTAATTGATGTCACCTCATAATGGAATCCTCCAACCAATCAAACTAAATCCCTACAAAAACCAATACTTAAAAACAGAAATACAAAGATCCACAGTAGCTATCCTTTTTTTATTCAGTTGTAGAATTATTTTTATTCACCAAACTAAAGGTCTGTGTTTTAATTCCTGATGTAAAGTGTCAAGGATTCGTACACTAGGGACGAAACAACTGTCCAGTATTTTCTGTTTTGCAATGATCCTCGAGCTGATGCGCCTTGTTGCTTCATTTTTATAAGATTTCGAGAAATGTTTGTTAGAAGAACTGCTCAGTTTTTAAGGGTTCTTAAAGGGTCTGAGTCCAGTGATGACAATTTTACGGAAAAAAAATAAATTCCAAATAAAAGCAAAATCCTGTTGTTATAAGCTAGTATGATGCATCATCGACTAGATTGAGGCGGTCTTAATATGGAAGACTGTGTATCTTAAGATCTACGATATTAGATTTTTTTCATAATAGAAATATAACCAAATTATTTGGGCAAATAAACTTTGAAGTGAAATCTTATGACTTCCGCAAACTATCATTTCTATCCAGTAAAAAGGTGTGAGCTTCACATGATATCAGTTAGCCTTGCTCAATTTGTAAAAGTATTCATGGGCTCAACGAGGAAACAGCTTTGATAAAGTTAACACAACCTCAAGTCATCTTTTATCATATCATAGGTATGTGCGAACTGTCTACATAATTAATTATTGGTTTCATATCTTATACTCGCTAGTGAATGGCTACAAAAGGTAATTGCCTGGAGTTCTACTGAGGAGTCGTGACCGGTAGGGACCATCATATCGAGCGTGAGGAAATATACTCTCTAATGACACTGGCTGGTGGTCCCGTGGTAGTCACGAGATGGTAGAAGTTGGAATTCAGGCGCTGGCCATTGAGTTGGGTCTCAGTGACTAAATGGTCTAGCAGCTTGGGCTCGGTGTACTGCTGAGGAGCCTGAAACTAGGACGCGAGATCAGTCCAGCACTCCAACGGTTCTCTAACTGATCTCAGCTCGAGAGCAAACTTTAAACGAAGCAACTAGAAATCAAGAAATTGTCGAAATTAAGTCAAAGAAAAGAAATGAATCGAGATAAAATGTTGGTTGCGTTAAAATTTTATTTGATATTGTGAAATTCATGCGAATTTTACCATTCAAACCTTTCAAACAAAATTATGTAAAGTGACGACTGTTGAAATAGAAGTAGAAATTGTGAAACTTTTTCCACAAATTATCATCCCTTTCTTATCTGTGGATAGTTTAGGAAGTAAACGTCAAAATACCAACAAATAACGCCATTCTGTGGGCCTATGATCTATTTCCGAATATCATTCACATGAACCAAACAACACGAAACTAATTACAGAACTGAATAGTAAACTATACCGCTTACAAAAAAATTGAACTGAACAATATCACACTCTGTCATGGAAAAATGTTATACACTCCTAGCGAAGTAACTCATAGATGTTTCATCTGTATTCAACATAGCCTCATCTGACCGAACAGTTTACTCATAATGAAAATAGATACACGAAGACTGCATTCGAATTGGATTAACTGAAACGATAGACAATTACCATGGTTACTAATCTTTCTTAACCAATGACTTGTCAATAAATTCATTGAGCAATTATAATATTTCAATTTTGATCGCAATTTGATGTCAGTTAGAGAACCATTCGAAACCAAGGAGTACTAGTCAACTGTTTCATCCTAGTTCGGGACCTTTCATCAGCACTCTCAACCCAGGACCCTCGGGACCATTCAGCTACTAGCCCCTGATTCAGTGGGTCATGAATTCCTACGTCTACCAGTTCACCATTATACTGCAACCTCCAGACAATATCATCAGTAAGTAATTGTCGTCACACGTGACATGGTGAGTCCCGATTGTCACGACCTTCCGCTAGAACTCCAGGCAATTCCGTTCTGTAGCCAGTCAAAGACAAACATCAGATTAATTTTCATGAAATAGTTTGGAAGAATTTGATATGTATCAAGATTGATCACAGACTTATGTAACCGAAAGGTCCTGAGATCGGACGGCTGTGGGTTAGTACTGATGAAGAATCCCAAACTGGGACAAATTAGCTGTCGGCTACTCCCTGGTTTCTAGTCGTTCTCTAACCCACATAAATCCATGATCAAACTTGAGACAAGTGAAATCCCTACCACCTAACTCATGAAAATCATAGTAAAGTTAGATGGATGAAGGTAGTTGACAGGTAGTCATAAATCTAGGTCTCATATTTGTTGGCAGTCACCAGCAGAGTGCATCTGCAAAACTCAGGGAATTGAACTTGAGTCCAAGGGTTTCCTACTGATCACCTTGAGCTCTATCTAACATCAATACAAGGTTTATCTCGACAACTAGTTGTCTACCTTGGTGACCACATTGTAAACTCAACTCATAGAGTTCAGTCAGCAGTTATACCACACACTGGACATTAGACACTGTTTACTTATAAGACCACTAAATTCCTACACTTTACCATTCCATTTATATAAATTTACTAATTTAAAAAGGAATGACAAACATTCCATAATCTTAAGTGCATAACATCAAATAGTGTAACAACACACTTCACTGAAGTATGAAAATTCTACTTATTCTATGTATAAGTAGTAATAATCTACATGACAAAAAAAACAATAAATGCTAAATATAAGTTGACATACAGTGTAAAAATGTTTTGTAATAACGAACAATATTCGGATGTCTTAATTGCTGACGTATAATATTGACTTCATTCAATATACGATTGATACACTTTTGTCTTTCATCGAAATTCTTTCCAAAGAATACCTGAGATGTACTAACCTAAATAACAAAATTGGAGTTGTCAAGAAAATAAATAAGTAAATAATTGCGAGAAATTCAGAGCAGTCTTCAATACTACCAATTAAACAAAATAATAACACAAGTTTCTACAGTAAAAACATTACAAAGAATATAGGCAGAATTGTAATTTCACAGGCTGATTCATATATGTCTGAGGTAAGCAATTTCAATTGCGTATACACATTTCTCGCTGAAGCTAAATGAGAATTCAGAACCAATGATTTAGTGAAGAGGCTTTTCAATGAATATACTATTAAACCATACAATTATATATATAAATATTCTTCCTTCACGTTCGCAGTGGAACATAGGGCCTCAAGCTAGTGGCTTGAAGTTTCTGTAACAGTGTTTATTTTTGCAGGATGGGGTGCTAGCCTCATGTCCAACCTTTCCTCTTTACCAGCATTATTTCTGGCTTAGCGAGGTAAAAGACTGTGTCGGCTGGGGATCGAACCCCGGACCATGTGCATGGTCGGTGGGCGTCCGATATATATATCTACATATCCGATTTTTTTCGTAAACTTGGAGTGTAGTGTGGAGCTATAAGAAACGTAATAGTCGAACATCATTTCGACACTGGTCACCTTTACCCTACATGTTCTTCCTGTTAAGTTATCTGTAAGGCGAAAAATAACCTGCCAACACCATTATGCGTCAAACTCCTCTATGTTACTGAAATTTTGACTATCCAGATAGAATAACGAGAGGTTTATAAACACAAAAAGCCTGGATCAACTACTCCTTTCTTGGTTTTAATTCATTTCTCGGTCGGAGGATTTCATCACGAGCTGACATCATTTAGAGAACCATTGGAAAACATGGAAGTTTTGGACAGCTGTTTCGCCCTAGTTTAGGACCCTACATCAACAAAAAAATCCGTACAAAAACCAATACTTGAGAATTAATCCGGTGCTCACTAGAGACTGACCCTATTCAGACAGAGAGCCTGGGCTTCTAGTGGGAAGTCGTGATCAGTAGGGTACAGCAGGTTGAAGGTAAATCACTAACTCATCGAAGAAGACATTACGAAGTGGTCGCACTCTACCATGAATTGGTACAAGTTAGAATTCATGGACTGGCCAATGAATTAGGTCCCAGTGGCTTAATGGTCTACGAGCCAACTTGACTTGTAACGAGAAGGTTCTGGGTTCAAATCCCGGGGGATGCGTGCTAGTGAAGACGCTCGAACTAGGGTGAAACAGCTGTCTAGTACTCCTAGCTGGTTTTCCAATGGTTCTCTAATCGATGTCAGCTCATAATGAAATCGTCCAACCAATCAAATAAAATCCCTACAAAACTGGTATTTTATAATTCGTTTATCTCAAACTATCACAGTATCTATTTTTGTTATCCCATCTAGTATATCCACCCTGTCAGTGTTCGTGAACATTCCAAGTGGTCTCCAATTGGTGGGAGACAAGAAAGCTATCACTGCTTAGTTATGTACTGGTTGACAGAAGACTGGAGAAATACCATCAGAAGTATAATTTTACATTCTATTAACGCTTATTTACAGACTTTGGTGACAGTAACCTGTATTTCTGTCTCTTAATAGGTGAAAGAATAAACAATCGTATTTCAGTTCCGTGTTGCTTATTGTGCATGGTATTCTGTGTATTAGGTGTAGGTCTTCTCAAAACCGCGATGGACCCAGGGTCTTTGCGATCTTGATTTTTCACATATCCCTTACTAGTTAGATTATTACTATTTTCACTCTGAACAATTTTTGATATTATCTCGCTTATCACCATTTTTTTATTTAACCCAGTCTAATATTCCCTCAATACTGTCTTTTCAAAGTTCTCACTTTGTTGATCAATGCATTATTGCTAAATAATTTCATTAATTGTATCTCCAACAGGCTTCAGAATTTTAGTAACACCCGTCTTCGCTTCATAGAGAAGGTCAGATGGACAGAAACGACGAGCAACAAGTAACTCTGTTAACAGGCCATCCAAGAACATGTCACCTAACAAATATGCAGAATAATGTGGGGATAGATTGGATATGCACTGAGATGACTACTGAGTGACATTACGGGCCAGGCAGCACGTTGATTGAATGCAAATGATAAATGATCGATTGGGTGTGGGTGCGAGGGTGATATGGAAAAGGTCGCGTAAGGTGGAGATGAAAGCTTATCGTCAATGGGGAGGCCAACTAGAAAGGGGTGCAGAGAACAGAGCCAAAAGGAGATGTGCTGCTGAAACCCAATACTACACTGTGAATCCAAGGAATAATAGTAATAATAATAATATATACTAATGGTCCTTATCCGTGAGACAAAATTTCATCTATTATTAGTAACAGCTCGATGGCGATTTCTACTCTTTCCATGTTAGATAAAAATCCTCTTATTTCCTTACAAGGCTACCTACTATCTCCAATGATTTTCCTGATTGCGGTAGACTGGACAATGGGACAGATAGCGAGCAACTAAGAGGCATAAAATGGACCTATACAAAAAACTTGGAGGATCTGGATTTCGCCGATGATATATGTCTGATTTCACAAAAAGTGGAATATATGCAAGTGAAAAGCAACAAGTTGGAAGAAGAAGCATTCAGAGAAGATAGAAACTCAGGTAAACACATAGAAAACAGAGTTGATAAAGATTCCTGACCAACAGCAATGGCAACAGCAACAACAACAGACAACGATCAGTCAGCAGAAATGGAAGAAACCTCAAAGAAGCAACTCCTTTACCTATCTATCTGGGAAGCATCCTTTCAACTACATGCGGGCGGAAATGATGTAGGTATCAAAGCTAGAATCAAGAATGCAAGGCAAGCTTTCATTACTCTCAAATCTGTATGAAGATCAACAGCACTCAGCAGGAAAAATAAGAACACTAAACATGATTTTTGTATAGTCAAGCATAACATTCTTTCCTGTAAGAAGATTTTGGTTATCTCTTATTGAACTAAACCTCTGTTTATCTTTCGTGTGCATCGTTTTCTTGAATTGCAATTTCCTAGACAACAAATAAAAAAATATGCATCTTGGTTGCTTCCACACATCGTGTTCTCATTCACTCTGGATATCTGCTTGCCATTATAATAATTGGTAACTCAGAGGAAATACTCATCCCCTTGCCATATAAGTATCAATGGTCAGATGAGTGAATCTACAGTGAGACGCTCAATACAGTATATACGGCACTTTGCTGTGGACTTAATCACCAGCTTTACACCCAAGTTATGAAGTATTCTGATTCTTACACATTGTAATATTATATTCTTTGTTTATCTTATATTATTTTGTTTTGATTCGGCACTTCGTATTCCTACCGTTACTATGACTGACTGAATTTCAATATAGAACATTGTACAGAAATCCGTCAGTTTAAAATGTGACACCCCATGAATCACACTAAGGTAGAGAAAAGTTGATTCAGAAGGAATATAATAAACAGACTTTTCAGGGAGAATAAATAGTAACATTGAAGTGGAAATAGAAACCTACAAGGAGTGAATACATCTGCACCAATGGCGATGATTTTTGAACTATCTCACCAATAGTCTCCAGAGATTGGTCCTTAGCACTTCGAGAAAGCCAGGCAACCAACCTACACCTCCTATGTGGCTCAAAACAATCGTCAAAGTCACCTTGGATTAATGCCAGGTTTTAGTTTAACAACCTCAAACCCTTTCGAAACCCTATCCAATCTCAGTTAGCAGCGCTTTTTGAGGAAGACAACAATAAGTTAGGTCAACAATTATTCCAATAGTTGTATGATAAAACGATACAGTTAAACGAATTATTCACAAACATCTTAAGTTTTGCATTGAGTTGTGTTCTCTGAGCTAGTTGGTTTAATTGTGGAGCTTTCATCGTCCTTCTTCAGCGCAATTTTTAGCATAAAATGAACTGCTGTTTCATCCTAGTTTGGAAACCATCGGCAGTACAGGCTAAATCATGAATTGGTAGAAGTTAGAATCCAAGGGCAATTGAATCGGGTCCCAGTGACTGAATGGTGTACTAGGCTGCCTTGTAACTGGAAGGTCCTGGGTTCAAAAGCCAGTGGGTGCGTACTGCCGATGATTCCCAAATAAGGATAAAACAGCTCTCCAGTACTTAAGCCCTGATTTTCGATTGGTTCTCCAACTTATATAAATCCGTGGTCAACTTTGTAAAAAACAAATTTAATCCTTACAAACCAACTCTTGAAAATGAAATAAACTCATTTAAATTCTCCATGAATGATAGAATTGCGTCTCCTAGTTCCATCTACGTGACTGGTAGTCTGCGATTAAACCAACCAGATCACAGAACACAACTAATTGCAGATCATCCATCTGAGCTACTAAAAATCTTCTCTACTATATTCAAAACATTTGCAGTATAATAAATTCAGACACTAACCTCTTTAACTGCATAACTAACTGACGAAACATTTTCTTTAGTAGCTTTAAAAACTTTACCATATGCACCAGTTCCAAGTAATTCTGTGATAGAATATTCACGTATACTGTGAGTAGGCGTCTGATGTATATCACACGATAGAATGCCTCTTTTTAATTCATTTCGTTCTTCATCCTAATCATTAAAAAATAAATAGCAAGTTTGAAAAAATATTAAAAGAAGTTATATTTGAAGATAAAAGTTTCAGAAATATTAAAACAGAGAAAGCAAATGATCCAGCATTGCTAAGATATATAGGAGACGTGAAAGAAATACCGAGAAACACAGCACGAAGGACAGAAGTAGCACAACACAGCAGATCTGTGCAAATAGTGCATTAAAGATAAGGTGTACATAATTTCGTTATATGGAGATGCCAAATTGCAAAATAAAACATTCTTGTTCAAGTCTCATACCATCATCCGTTACAGAAGAACAACTAAAAGCCTTTTTTGTGTCGGTAGAACTCCTGTCGGTGGCACATCGGTAGAATGCTCGTCAGCCATGCCTCATGTGGTCCGGGGTTCGATCTTAGGCCACCGAGACACTCCTTTACCTCGCTAAGCCAGCAACAAGACTGGTAAAGAGGAAAGGTTGAGCATGAAGCTGGTAACCCCATCCTGTAAAAATCAACACCATTGCTACAGAAATTTCAAGCCTCTAGCTTGAAGACCTCTCTATGTTCCACTGGAACCTAAAGGAACTGAAAAAAATCTCTCATATGAAAAATGTTGAAAGTCGGGACGATGTTCTGTGATCCACTTATGTCAATCCCGACAAAAACTGTAGGAATGCCACAGCACAGTATGAAAATTATTTCTCGATTTCACTACGGATACTAAACATTTCTGAAATTCATTTCAGTTTTCTGTTCATTATTCCTATTTCTCTCTACCTAGCATGTCAAATTGTCTACAGTACGTATATAACTCCAGATGATTCGGATCTCCTAGACGATTTATGTCTAGTTTCATACAAACTCAAAGACTAACAGGCGAAAAAAAGCAACTATTCGGTGCAAGAAGCAAGAAAAGCAGGACTTCAAGTAAACATTGAGGAGACAGAGATGATGAAGATAACTAACCGGAAACAACAAGCACTGATCACTATCAAAAAGGTCACTGTCTCCACTTATCTAGGTGATATATTTTTAGCTGTAGTCGGCGGCACAGATGAGGATATCAAGTCCAAGATAGGGAAGGCAAGACAGACATTCATCACTATGAAATCAGTCTTGAAACCTTCTGCACTCAGGATCAAGAACAAATTTCGAATTTTAAACACTCATGTTAAGTCAGTCAATTATTCTGCATGAGTCAGAAACATGACATGTCACAGAAAGCGTTTCCAACAGGCTCCATGCTTTCACTATACTTCATTCAGAACAAAGAACGAAATTTGAATTTTCTACACTAATTTCATGTTAGTTCTTTCATATGAGACAGAAACTTGGCGCGTCACGAAAAATATTTCTAACAATCTGCAAACTTTTATCAAAAGTTACCTTCACTGGCTCCATACAGAAGATCAGATTGCCTGCCTGAAAGAATTACCTACAAGAAATTCTAGGAACGAACCACTTGAAAACCTGCTGCTTAAGAAATCTGCCAGGGAAGATGGAAATGGGTCGAACACCCTTTGAGGAAACTGTTGGGTGACATCGCCCTTTGGGCCACCCAGCGGGAAACGATGATTTGGACATTTACCCAAGGTTGATTTCGAGAAGATCATGTGAGGAGAAGGTGAAAGCTTATCGGCGATCGTGGAGCCAGGTGAAAAGGGTTAAAGAAAAGAAGGAAAAGTGGAGATGTTGTGTTGAAGCTGTATGTTTCACTTGGAACCCTGGGAAATAATAATAATTATTATGATGGTAGGTCATCGTTGCATTTTCACTCCTAATTAACCGCCTATGTTGACAATAAAGGTTAGAAAAGGTCGAAGCTAACATTTGCTTTCTGAACAAATCTTTAGACAGGTTAATGGCAATGATCAGTAACCAATATATCAAGTCAGCTCTTTTTTTCTTGATTATAGCTTGATTCCACACTGTATTTTTGGTACAAGTATGGCATTTTCAGCTTGGATATCTGTAGCCTAAATTTTGCAGGTCGACCATAGATATCAGGTGCGAGTCGGCAGGGGATCGAACCTCGGACAATGTGCATGGTCGGCGAGAGTCCTAACCACTGTGCCACCGACGCACTTTTAGTTATGTGATGCTGATAACTTCACTACTAACAGAACAAAGTTTGTCACAAATTTATTGAAAAAGCTTTTAGTAAAAAATATTTTAAAGATACATTTAAAAATGTATACTGAATGCATTTCAATCATTCACTTACGTTGAGCGATTCAAAGACTCTAAGTAATGTTTTATAATTCGCCATACATGTTGATGTTATATCAATTTCTACTAGTTCAGATAATAATAATGATGGTAGGAATGATTTAATTAAACGCCGATTATGTTCAGACATGAAAAGTCTTCGTAGTGCACAAAATGCATTAGCCTGAAAATTTAACAGAATATTTGATTTAAGAAAAAGGCAAAACAATAAAATATTACTGAAAAAGCAGCTAGTTTGACCGTTTACCTTCTGAAAAGACAGTTGATTTAAGATAACCTTTAGAAACAAACAAAATTAGTTCAATTTTAGACTTTTCCCTCGATTGATTCAACCGAAGTGCTCGGTCTCAGATTGACATGTCGGCTTCTTGTGCAGATGCTTCAATGATGTCTGAACAAGTGGAATCCAGGGTGCGAATTTCGCCCTATTTTGGACCCTTCATCTGGATGTACCTACAATCCCTAGTGAATGATGATGTTCCCATTGAATCTCGAAACCCAGTGCCCATAGTTCCAAACGCCAGAGCATTAACCACTAAACCACTTGGGACACGAGAGTCACCTTTTGTGCAACAGGGCACTGGGTTCGAGCCTCAATGGGGAATGCAGGTTCATCCAAATGACGAGTCCCAAACAGAACGAAATGAGCATCCTGAATTCCACTCCTAGTCACCATCCACTAATTAAACACAATTAGGTTTTTGAAAAAGTCTCACAGTTTGTTCTAACAAACAAAAACTGATCTATTTCTGTACAGTGTAGAAGTGTTTCAGCACCAGTAATAAATATTGTTTGTTACAAATAAGGCATTTTCAGGAGTGAGTGAATTCGCTGTTAGCAAGTGTCTGTATATTCTGAAGGGTGGTTTGTTTAAATCACTGGATTAACTGAGGTTCCATCCGACACAGTGTATAGAAATCTCTCCATTTCCTATGCTTTTAACTACTCAGCTATGCCTATGAGTCACGAAATGTACTCACTTGGTTTTCAATCTACTGATGGGCATTTCTCTGACCAAATATCATTGAGTTACATGATATGCTATAGATTGCTACTTTTTTTACTTGAAGACTCTGAATGGAAAGCAAATATTTTGCAACAAATTACACTGGGAATTCTGTGTATTGGTACATTTTTTCCCCAGAACAAAGCTGTTGTTATTATAAATTTTCAATTTCCAAGTGTTGGTTAACAGAGATTTGAGTGATTTCATCTCTGATCTAGAACTGAATTCAATTAGAAAACCTTTGGAAACTAGGAAGTACTGGACAACTATTTCTTTCTATTTTCGGACTTTTCAGCAATACATGCTCATCATCCAGCCAGGTATCGGACTGAGAACTTTCTGCTTATAAGGCTAGCTCATTGACCATTCAGTCAAACGGAGGGAATCTAGTGGTTCGTGAATTCCAGCTTCTACCAACTCGCCACACATAACACGAACACCAGCCAATGTTAACAACGAGTGTCTATCGTCAACTATATTGGATAGGGTGATGATTTCATGATGATGAAGAGACCAAGACTAGGAAGAAACGACTGTCTAGGATTCCCTGATTTTCAGTGGTTCTTTAAATCAACTCCATTCGCAATCATATTTGAAATTCCGAATTTTCAATAAACACTAACTGCTCTGCAAAAAAGCAATAGTAGATTTTGACATATCAGAAAACACTCATTAGTTTCTAGTACCATCTCATTTCAGCCTAACGCATCTTATGTGATATAAACTGCTATGAATTGGCGTTTAAAACATGGTAGGTGTATTTCTAGGTGTAAATCGTTTATGACACTGAAGCCTTACAACAAATTCAACCGGTATCAAAAATACTATGAAATAACTTCTTAGTTCTCCAGATGAAATCGATTCTTTTTGATGAGAATTATGTTAAAATCACTTGTATTCGAGCAGAGCTCAGTCAGTTTACTAGAATATAGCTTCATATTGGAGACATTTAGTTTATTTATCGCATAATAGTACAATATTACCGCGGAAATGATTAAAGTATAACTTACCCCTCATATTTATGTAAGATTAGTTACACTACTTTATGATCTTATTTAAGTAGTCTGATTTCACGAACCTAAAGATTTCACAAATGTCAGGAAGATATCTTTTGCTTCACTTTTGATGTGGTTTTGTTCTCTGAGCTGGATGGTTAGTTTGCGAAGCTTTCATCGCCCTACACTTCAATTTGAAGTGTGCGCTGAAGATGTCACCCAGTAGGGCGATGAAAGCTTCGCAAACTAACCATCCAGCTCAGAGAACAAAACCACCTCAAAATTATCCACCTGAGCTACAAATCTTCTCTATCATATCTAAATTTTGCTTCACTTCTTTCGCACATTTAAGTTGTTGACTCGTTGAGACCGACTTCAGTGATGCATAGTCCTCTACTTACAACGACACATTAGTGTTTATAAATACAACTCTTGTCTATCTAATTAAATGACTGTGTGCTAAAGCACGGTCCTCTTTTTCTAATAACCTAGATTGCTCCGTTATTAGTAATCGCAAAGTGGCTTAAACACTCGACCCTCAATCAAACTGCTCAGGGTTTGAGTCTCACTCTATTTACTTCAACTTAAGAAACTGGTTAGTTAAATCCATGGGTCATTGAATCTGATCCCAGGGCCTAAATGGTCTACAAGCTAACCTTGTAACCACAACGTCCCGGGTTCGAACCCCGGTATCTGCCTACTCCCAGTGAGCCCCAAGCTAGGATAACACAGTTGTCCAGTACTTCATGGTTTCCCATGGTCCACTAGCAAACATGAAAAAACAACTTCAAGCATCTAAAAGTAACAAATTATATGACTCACGTAAAGATGACGAATATTCACTAGATTAATGTTCAGAAAATCAAGTTTCAGCTTAGTAGGACCAAGTTGATTTGCAAGTTCTGAAGTCACTTCTAACCCTGGCTTAATCTTACTTGATTCTCTGTTATGAGAATCAATATCCTCACGAATTAACAACTGTGATCCAATTAAATATATTCCATTTTCACGTGCAATAATCTCAGCATAGAAATCATTCAATGCTAATTCGGCTAAAATTGCACATATAGCTAAAATTAAGTTTTGTGAATAAAAAAAAAGAAGTGATTATCAGTTTTCTGGAGCATATCTTTTGTTCTCATTAATACATTTCAAAATATATTAATCATTTCTGAAAACACTATGCTCTAACACTAACTACCACTGTCCCAAAGAACAAATAATTGGTTTTCTTAAACAGTAAATTGATATAATGATGATTTATTCGTAAAATATTTACTTTACAGCCAAGCCAAAGGTCTAAGTTCGGCTCCCGGCCAACACATACCTAGGAGTTGCCTAATTTACTGACCAGTAATAAACCAGGAAAAGAGTTCTAACCTTACGTATGACTAATAAGGCAATCCTGCAAAAACAACATTTCCACTGCTGAAACTTCAAAGTTTGAAAACTGAAACCCTATGTTTCAGTCAAAGAAATCACTCAAAAAAGGAAAAGGAATAGTAATAATAATTTTTTTTGCTTTATTCCAAAAACAGTACTAATGATACAGCAAGGAATTTTCAGCATTCAGTACAATATTGCATCTAATTTACTCAAAACGACAAAAAATGAATGTTACATAATAATAAATAATAATAAAACGTTTTAATTGCAGCTATGTAGCAAATTACAGTATGCGATAAGGAGAAAAATATGCATAAAGTACAAAATTGTAGTAATAATAGTAATACCAACTAAAATAAAATAGCAGAGTAACGATTTAAACGATAGAAAGTGTGACACCATAAAATACAGAAAGATGAACGATAAAAGGGTCGATTCACTGTGCTAATTACATAGTAACTTGTAAGTTTCACGTCTAACAGAGTCTTCGTCACATAAAGTACGCGCTAAATAGGGTATTGTAGAATTTCTATACTTAGTAGTACGAGCATATATCTTTTTATATTGACTTCTCGTCCTACCTGATGAGATACAAGGGGACAGGTGTGAATAAAGGGGGTGCAGAGGGTCTGACAGTATAGCCTTTGCCCATTTCGTACAGGAATTTATATGCCTCTCGACTATAGTATTAGCGAGCTCATGCAGTGGCAGACCACAAGCTCTACTCACAGCATTTAATACTCTTCGTAATATGATATAATCTTTTTTGAGAAGCCCAGGAAAGATTAATGGAGAGCAGTAGAGTACAATAGGTAAAATACAGGAGTTTAAAAATTGCAAAACTAAAGGTTGGTTGATACCTGATTGTCTTAACTTTTTAATGTAGAAGGTAAGACGAAACATTTTCTTAGAGATAGATAAGATATGGGATGACCATGAAAGGTCAGAGGAAAAAACTAATCCAAGGTATTTAATGCTTGATTTGGTTTCAATTTCCGTGCCATCTATGCTACAGGGATCATGTGAGTTAACTAGTTCAAGTAAGTCACGTCGATGCTTGAAAGTAAAGTCAAGTGCCTGACATTTGGAAGGATTTAATATAAGACCATTTGACTTGGACCAGTTGTTGATGTCCAACAGAAAGCTATTAAGTTTGGAGCTGTCAGACTCGGAAGTGATAGGCAGTGATACAGTCAGATCATCTGCATATTTGACAAAGTTAGTTTCGTTTGAATGAGGCAGGTCATGTAGGAAGAAAGAAAAAAGAAAAGGAGAGAGGACAGCACCTTGTGGAACACCGGATTTTGTAAGCGAGGTAGAAGAAGATTTGCCGTTATATACAGTATACTGCATTCTATCAGAAAAATAGGAATGCAACCAACTCTTAGCCCAGGATCCTGTTTGTGTCAACGATAGCTTATTTAACAAAAGGCCCCTAGGTACAGAGTCAAAAGCAGATGTGTAGTCTAAGAAAGCACTACGAACATATTTAGCACCTTTGTCTAAACAAGAGACAACATTGTGAAGACAACCGCAGCATCCAAGGTACTTCTACCATGTTTGTATGCAAATTGTTTAGGATCATTAAAAGGTTTCAAAGCGGGTTCAAGACGAAGTAAAAGTAATTTTTCCATCAATTTTAAAAAGGGGGAAGTAATTGCAATAGGCCGAAATTTAATATCAGAACCAGAAGATGGTTTTGGTATAGGGATAATTTTAATGTTTTTCCATGCAAAAGGTAGAACGTTACCGGAAAAAGAGGCATTAAAAATGTTAGTAAGAGGATAACACAAAATATCAGCACAATTCCTGAGGACAATGGCAGGTATGCCGTCAGGACCAAGGCTTTGAGAAGGCTTAAGAGACCGGAGACATTTAAGCACATCAAGGGTATTAAAACCACTAAAGTTATTGTCAATATGATTTGTATCATTAGGAAGGATATCAACAGAAGAGCGTATGAAAGATTTATTAAGAGTGTCGACATTAAGAGATGGAACAGAAATACATCGCTTACCGTTAGTAATTTCTTTGAAAAGTTTCCACAAATTAGAAGGGGTTTTACATGACAAAAATCTTTGATTATATAAAACATTTAGTCTTTTCATTTCCAGTTTTATCAGAGTTATAGAATTATGATAAAATCTGTTTTCAGAATGCATGAATAAGTGAACCAAATAAGAGTGAATAAAATCATGATCCTAAACTATATTTAACCTCTCATATTGGTTTTAAGGAATTTCAGCTTCAGTTTGTTATTAACTTCACTCAGTTAGTGGAATTATTAAGTAGCCTTAAAAAATGAGTATATGTCAATCCGCTTGACTAAAAGAAGGAAGGGATTCAGCAGTTAATATCTTTGAAAACTCATTTTACACAAAATAAAGTAAATTTGAAATGTAAGACTAGTTAAACACTTCTATCACCAGGTCATAACTTTACAAGTGGATTCAAACACATTCATATAGCTAGAAGGTAATTCCACGTATAATTGTATTCCACAATGAACTTAGCATACACAAAGTCATTTTGCTCAGTAGCAACTTTATTTATACAATGATGAAGACTTTGACTCGAAATGACAAGACTGTTACAAATTTTTTGATGAGTATTCTCAATTCTGAACTGGTAAATTTTATAAAACAATTTATAATTGGACTTCATCTCCTCATATTATTAAACTAAACTCATTTACTGGATATAATTTCAGTGTAATGAGGCATTATGCGATTATTCGAGAATTTCGCAGAATGAATTAGTTGATCCAATCAGAATCATGATTAACTGAAATTGGAAAATTTAATAATTATCCTCCGGCCGTGTGTATCATACCGGGACAATGAATTAGCCACACACCCACTGTCTAACAAATATGCAGGATGAAATGAAGATAGACTGAACAAAAACTGAAAAGACCGTTGAGTTATATTCCAGCCTGCCATGTGGAACATGAATTGGAAGTGATAGGTTGAACGTCTGAGGGTGAAATAGTGAAGAGAAAACAGAAGATTGTGGGGAAGCCATATGAAATAGTAGAGAACCTAGGAGAATGCAGATGTCCTGCTGGGATGCTTTGTTCTAATCGGATCATTCATGGAATTAATAATAATAATATGCATGAGAAGCAATAAAATTCTGTAAACTAATTTAATTCTAACTCCTTAATAATTAAAGAATACATCGGAACAGTTTAAAAGCTGATTCTTACAGTTAAGGAACTGTAAACTTAAAACGCTATTATATCCAGGAAAATCATCTATAAAGGTTTATGAGAAGCCAAACCTACAAGAGATTTTAACTTTATTGGCTGAAAATGTTAAAGTAAAAAAGTGGATTCCATCTTATTAAATAACATCAACTGAATTAAAAACATGAAATGTGGACGAGTAAACTACACTCAGTGACACTGGCCCCCTCTGAATCAAATTTTCAATCTACAAATTAATTCGCATTTTACACAATTCAAGGATATGAGAATTCACCTCAATTTCCCTTCAAAATCCAAACTATAGAGATAAAACAATATGTGATCAGCTTGAAATCAGATGTGGTAATCTACAAACCATGTATAAAACTTTATACTACTGATTGATTCTGATCAGTAATTGTATACCACTCACATCAACCAGCAGTGCTTGGTAGCCAGATCGAAGTGATCCAAACACCGGACGGCCATTTCGGTCGTTTGAGGCCGTCTTCATCAGTGATGTAGCTGTTTGTGACTCAGCTCAGACAGCTGAATTAACTCAATCCACCTGATATTTGACTAGCTACTTAGGAGAACTGGTAACACCAAAATTAAATTTACAATTAACAAATTTATTTGCAGTTAACTGGTTGATATAAATGGCAGACAACTACTCATCTCAATTACTCAGTATTATATAGTTTTATTAATTTCTTGTGTCTATCTCAGTCAAAATAACAAAAACTTCATTATAAAATGGATGGTAGCCGACTGAGTTTCAAAGTAAGTTTTTACACAAAAGTGTAGCAGTTCAAATTGCCACAAAGGTAGAAAAATGCAAGAAAAAAGAATTTCAGAAGCAATATAATGAGAACAGATACGTGAAGGAGAAAGGATAGTAACCCTAGGGTTTAATAAATATGCGAAATCACAAAGAGTAAATGCTTCTACAGCACTGAAAAGGATTTTGAGCCATATTGCAGAAACACTGTCACGCTATCGGTTTTTAGCGAACTCCAGGACACCAACCAGGAAGTCTGAAACCCCTTATACGGTTCAAATAAACAGTCAAAGACTTTAAGGACTGATTTTATGTATTTCCCAGCCAAATCTTATGTCAGCTAACATTGTTCATCCAGGAAGGTGATGGCCAGGCCACATCAATCGATTTACCTTCATGATCACATCTACTGACTTTCTCTTCTTACCTAACAATCTATGCCTAACCTCAATAGTACTCAGTATATTATACCACTTAACGCGGGAGATAGAACGCAGACACCTATGATGAAAGATATCTAGAGAGTTATATACCACTTTTATTATGTTAGTTTATCATTATCGTTATTATTTTATTATGATTATTATTCTCACCATCCATATTTTATTATCACTCTATTACTGTTTATTAGTAACATTCCGTTTTCATACAGATCTTAAATAAAAACACTTTATCATCTTTCCATTAGTTCCTGTCCACTCTACACAGTCATATTGATTAGTCATCTTCTCATATTTATTACGTCATGCCAACTTCTGCCTGTTTTCTAACTTCCGATTAGTCACCTCGTCTAGATTACACCTTACATTAAGTAATACCTTTTTCGAGGACAAATTTTATCAGTATTTGATTGGCGCTATGATTCCTTTTTTAAATATATTTGGGATTGTACAGCTTATGAAAAAAATTAATCGTCGATAAGAAAGTTTCTTCACTATTTACGTCGTTTTCTTATGACTCAATATGGGAATATTTCCTTCATATATGACCTTAGCAAATACATCAAATACTTCTTGGCGGATATGAATATTGTATACAAGCAACGTGTTTCACCTCATCAGACTTTAGAAATACAAAAACAATTCATTTAACTTCATTAAATGAAAACTTACATGCATTGCACTGGATGGTATGTCGATCTAAAGTGTACACCTATAAAATCAAAATAATGATATTGTTAATTCCTTTTCATCTGTCCTTTGCTACTCTTTCCTTTGTAACAAGACATATAAGCGAACAATATTGTTTTCAATTAGGTCTTCTTCAGGCTTTACTCTTTCTTTTGTGTTAATTTATACTACTTACCATTCGTAAGTAGCATGAAATATTTTACTTCTTAAACACGACTTTGCTGCTGAAGTTTAACTCAATATGATTTATGTTCTATTTGATGTATAATGACAGACTTCTTATAGTTAAACATTATCTGCCATATATGCTATATTTATGTACCTGTTACTGTTGGACATTGTTTATTTGTATCCCTTTATTCCATGTCTGGCATTCGTGCGCTTTTCAAACCTACGCGTGGGTCGCGTTTGACACAGCTTCGCTGTTTTTTTTTTCTTATTGACGCACATTCATTGTGCTTTGATGGCATTCAGCCTCAGATACCTCATAATTGAGGTCTGTAAACTATGTTTGATTATTTTATGTTTAATATAGTACCGTATTTAAGATAAATCCTTTGTTTTCAGATTTTACGCATCACTCAACGTGTGGTTTTAATAATCGTTGGATTATCGTCCCGAATTTCAAACGTAGCTGTGAACATGATTTAAGGATAGCATCAGTCCAACATACTTAGATTAAACTGTCACTGTATGGAAATCTTAGAAGTAAGCAGTCTATAGCTTTAATGATATAAACTAACTATGCAATAGCATTCAGTAAATTAGTAATTCTGAGACACACCGATCCGAATTAGTGCATACATCTAATTACATCAGTTTGTGAGAAAGGAATCTTATCCTCCTGTGATCACCACGGGCGAACAAGAACCATTAATTTACCTCTTGAGACCTTAGAGCCAGCAGTCATACAAACACAGAGAAAAAAAATGTGATGCTCACTAGAAAGCAGTGACCTGGGGTTCTAGTGGGAAGTCGTGACCAGTGGGTGGAGCAGGTTGAAGATCAGGCAGTAACTCATCGAAGAAGACATTGCGAAGTGGTCGCGCTGTGTCGTGAATTGGTAGAAGTTAAAATTTATGGACTGGTTGTTGGATCGTGTCCTAATGGCTTAGCGTCTACGAGCTCGCATGGCTTGTAACTAGAAGGTCCTGCGTTCGAACCCTGGCGATGGGTGCGTACTGATGAAGAGTCCTAAACTAGATGGAACAGCTGGCTGTCCCATACTCCCAGCTGGTTTTTCGAAGGTTCTCTAATCGATGTCGGCTCATAATGAAATCCTCCAACCAATCAAAAGCATACAAGTTAATAATGTGGTTAGATGTAGAAGGCTAGGTAAAAATCGATGAGGTTGATGAATCTCGTAGATTAATTCACCTAGAATATGTGTTACGAATGCCAAGTCACTATCTTTATTGTCGAATAATATTAGCTGAATTATGATTAGTTTGACAAAGAGGTGAAATTTTGTAGATTAAAGTATAACACTGATTCATAAGTCAGCTGTTTGTTTGTCTAAGCCTTATATGTTGTATATCTGATGGTATTGGGATTCTGAGAATAAAAGTTCATGAAATTCATATGACATTAACCGAATTCATTCATGGTGGGGGAGATGTACTCATTTTTTATCATCTTCCAAATCTCAATACTTTCCAATTATCTATATTTAATCATCCTCTTCGATGAATGGGTTTTTGTCTGATATGGTATTATTACTCTTCTGTCTTCTTACGAATTATAACAACTTGAACTAATGCAATTCCTTACAGAAATCAAGAATACCGATTTATCCATAAACCTCACACAACAGCTTTAGAAAGGGCGGGTTGGGCGTGACGCTAGTATACCCACCTGATATGACCAAGTCTATCGGACTAATGAACTTTCTAACTCGTAGATTTACCAGCCTACTGTTCTAATCATACCATTCACAATGACAACCACCACAACACTATACCAGTGACATGTAACACAAGAAAGTTGGAAGATGTACCGTTCAGTAGACAGCTTTTACTGTCTCAGATCAACAGTTACATTTGCAATAATAATGATGCGATATAGTAAATATGCGGAGAGATTTAAAAATATCGAATCGATCATTAGATTAAACACTGATCCAATATCACTTAGCAGGCAGTATTCAAAAAATAAGGTAAAATTACTTGATATGCTTAATATAGGTCCCTTATACTAACATGGAATTAAGGACATTTTAACAACAATACTAGGGATATATATATAACGCCACTCTGTAAAAGCACAACACTGAAACCTAGAAGCTTGAGCTCGAAGCCCTTACTTGGAACGTAAAGAAATGAGAAGAAAACATAAGGAGTCATCATTTCGCAATTAAAATGACTTTAATATAGTATGTATAACTTTTATAGAAAGATACTAAACATTATAAAAATCAACTCACCAATTCATTTTCATTGGTACAATTTCCTGATAGTTGTAAAGCCTTCAATGAAGGTGAAATATCAGTCAAAGAAGTGAGTCCCAGATATATTGTATTGTTATTATTACTATTATTATTGTTGTTATGCTTTGGCCGTATTTGTGAATCATTACTGAAACGTATTCAATTGTAATATAAAAACAGTTAAGGAAGCAACTTATATTTTTATTTTACTGAAAATAACTTTACAGCCTACTAGACATGTGAATGACAGAGTAAATGCAAAAGTTTTTAAACAATTATTATTTATTATTGTTTCCTTTAGTTCCTAGAAGGACATAGGGCCTCAGCCGTACGTGTCTACATTTCGTTCGGTTCTCTGCCAACTTTTTCACCTGGCTCCACTTCCGCCCATATGCTTTCATCTCCTCTTTACATCAACTCCTCCTCTATGTCACCCTTGCACTGACGACCAACTCGTCGCTTACTATTCGAGTTCCACTCGAGTGATTGCCTGGCGTGTGATATCACTTGATGGTTTGTCTCCTCAGAGTATAGCCAATCCACCTGCATTTCTTCATGCAGATTTGTTGTACAATCGGTTCCTGGTTAGTTGGTTCGCTCCCAGAGATACCTCACTATTGCTGATTTTTCCTGGCCAGCCATCTGATCTTGAGGGAAGTATTGAGCAAAGACAGCTGTTGATGAACGTTTGTAGTTTGTTCAAATAGTAGCATTGACTTCACATTGGAGTTTGAAAATGGGATCTTATTTTTCATTCTGAGTGCTGTTGACCTCCACACAGACTTGAGAGTAATGAAAGCTTGTCTTGCTTTCCCGATCCTGGCTTCGATATCCTCATCAGTTCCTTCCGCCTGAAGTTGAAACGATGCTTCCCTGGTAGGTAGGTAAAGGAGGTTTCTTCTTTCAGGTTTTCAAGCAAACAGACATTTAAATCATTAGTCTGACCCTTCACTAGTTGACCTACAAGATTCATCTGCTAACTAGGTTATCTTTTCAATGGGATTGCCACAGATGATGGCATTATTAGAAGCTGAGTTTCGTAGCTCAATGGATGGAGCTACAAATCAGTAATTCAGAGGCCGATGGTTGCAGTTATGCGCCAATCTAGATTTTGATTTCATCTACAATCTTCACCCACTGTATCAATAACAATTTTTCAATCCAAGATTATCTCAGATTTAGGTTTCCTAAATAAGGGATACTTTTTAATTGCTGGATGGTGACTAACAGTGGAATCCAGCCAGGATTCGCATTTCGCCTTATTTGGGACTCGTGGTCAGCTGGATGTACCTGCAACCTCGTGGCCCAAGTGGTCTAGTGGATAACGCCATGGGTACTGGGCTCGAGCATCGGTGGGAACATCCACACTCACTGAGGAATGCAGGTACAGCTGACCACGAGTCCCAAATAGGACGAAATGCGAATCCTGGCTGGATTCCACTGTTAGTCTCCATCCACCAATTAAATACTAACTAAATTCCGAAACATCGTCGAAGCATCTGCAGAAGAAGCCGACATGTCAACCTGAGACCGAGCACTTTAGTCCAATCAATCGACGGGAAAATCTTAAATCCAACAAAAAATAAGGGATACTTTCTTTGATTGGATTCTAATTAGTAACTTGTTTCATGTGTCTAGTCTTCTGTCTAGTGCAGGCTGAATTCTATGTGTCAAGTTTGCTTCCAACTACCTCATATCAACAATTCATATTGCATCGTGATGGCCAGCCATTCAGAATGATGGCCACACTGCAAACTTGACTGACTATAGAATTCAGTTTACACCAAACAAAGGATTAGACGTACGACACTAGTTAGTGAGCAATACAGTCCTACAGGAGGTCAGTAACGTCTCTGACTTCAACGCTGGGTGACACGGATTCCAATCTCAGATCGAACAAAGGCATGAGATCCTTCAAGGTTTCAGATACGCCTTGCTGACTAGTTAGTACCGACATGTACAAAACCTAGATCCAGGAATTCATACCGACTGCCTCTAACTATCTAGTATAAATAATACTTTCATTGACTGTTTTCTATTCTCTGGTGATTGTGTATACAGAACCTTCAAATTTATACATGTTTCATGTGAACTACTTTGTTATTAAACAAAATAATGAAATAAAATGATCACTGGTTTTATTTTGTTTTGAAATACAGTCATTAGTAAGTGACCTTAAAAAAAGGTGAAGTAACCCAATATAAAACTAAAACTTCAAATCTTGATCATACATTTTTGTACAAAATATTTTTTTGTCCAAATTGAAAACAATTATTCCTTTTTATGCATGTAAATAATGTAAAATTGATGGTTTGTCCAGAACGAGACAATATCATTTTGTGGGTTATCAATTCTCTAAACGTGTACCGAAAAGCGTATGTATCAAGGCGGCAAACTGTTTCCACAATTCTGTTGCTAGGTATCTCATGCATAATTGGTAGCAAAGTCTGTCTGTCTTTCCGTTTTCGACATAGAACTTTGCACACATGTGCGGCAGTTCAAATCGCCACACTCCCTCCATGTAGAACATAAAGCAAGAGAAGAAAGTAGAAGAAACGCATAATAGAGACATTAAACAGAGGTGTGAGACAAAGGAAGAGTAATAACGAAGAACAAAACAGTTTCCTTGGAAATCATAAGTCACAAGGAGTGGATGCATCTGCGCCAGATATTGAGAACGATGAGTTTGAGCCATATCACCAATTGTTCCCAACCATTGATTTTTACCGTCCCGAGGACCCCAACAAGGAAGTCTACACCTTCCTACGTGGGCTTAGACTAACTGTTGTAGATTTTATTGACTGGTGAAGCCATGTTTTTGTTTGACCTCAGCTAGCTTTTTTCCAGCCTGACCCTATATCCGCTAACATTGCTCGTCGAGGGAGGCGATGGCTTGACATACGTAACACATGTCCTAACCATCTCAGTCTATGCAACTTCACAGCTTCGTCGATTGATTTCCTCTCGTTACCTAGCACTCGACGCCTAACCTCAATATTGCTGACCTTATTATACAACTTCACACGGGAAATGGAACGCAGGCACCTATGATCAAAGACAGATAATCTTTTCATGTCTTCCACTCTCAACGGCCAGGTCTCACAGTCATAAAGGAGGACGGAGTGGACTGATGAGCAGTACACCCGCCCTTTGGTCGATAGCAATGTGGACATCTTAAAATCTTTAGAGATTATCAGTAAGCAATATACAACTTAATTCTCCTCAAGTATGCTGAAATAATCGCTATCAGATGTTTAAAACTAGCTAACTGACTGAGTGACTGATTGACCGAGTTTCACCGTAGAGATTTCTACAAAAATGCAGTAGTTCAAAAGACGACACTTCATGTAGCCAACAAAGGTGGCGAGAAAAGAGAATAAGGAAACTGAAGGGTACTATAATGAACAGAAATGTACTGAAGAAAGAATAGTCATATGGAAAGATGCATAGACTTAATTGATCTGGTAAATTGAAAGGAGTGAATGTGTCTGTGCCACTATGCACAACTTTCAGCCATATCACGAACAGTCTAAAGCCATTAATTCTTAGCATCCCAATGATGTCAAATAGACAGTCTACATCTTTCTGAGTGCCTGGTCCAAACTAGTCTTCAAAAACTTCATGAATTGATTCTATGTTTTTGTTTGGCCACTCGTAACGTTTCGAATTCGATTTATGTATTCATCAGAAAGAAGCAGCTATCAGTTTTCCTTTGCCTTGGCAACCCGATTTCTTATCTTTTTATTTTATTTGATTATTTAATTCTTCTGCTTTAATCCCATCATCTTTTTTTTGTAATTTAATTTTGCTTGTTTTTGTACCTTTTATTTCAACAAATTAAAAATGCCCATTAAATTTTTTTATAGAGTGGTTACTGAACAAAGAACATTATTTTCGATAACTCCTTCTTCATCAGGTTCTACAGTTATATATACATTATAGTGAATGAATGAATTAGTGTTATAAGCAGCATTGATGTTTGAATAACATCGAATCAATCAATAATATGAATAGATTACAGTTGAATAGAATCAACATGACAATAAATTGAATGTCAGAAGAATTAGGATAGATAATTACAAAAATTCATGAATTTATAGTCTCTACTGAAGGCCAGGACAGTCTGTCTGTCTGGATTCAACATAGAACTTGGCACCGAAATGCACCAGTTCGAGTTGTCACGTTCCAAATACCATACAAAGATAAACAAGAAGATGAGTGAAGTGAATCAATAGAGTTTGACAAGTATACGAGTGAAACAGAATGGGTAATGGTAGAAAGGAATATGAAAGATTACAGAGACTGAATACATCTGCGCCATTGACAACGATCACTTTGAGCCATGTCACCTATTGTCTACAGCCATTGATTCTTAGAGCCCCGAGGGCCCCAACCCCACCTGGCTTAGTTTAACTGTCAAGGATTTCATGGATTGATGAGCCATGTTTTTGTTTGGCCACCACTTACTCTTTTCCAACCTGCACCTATCCCGGCTATTAATGCCCGTCGGGGAGGCGATGGTTAGGCATGCGTAGCACGTGACCGTGAGAAAGAGATCGTAGACATCTATGATCGAAAGCAGTCAACCTTTTCATGTCTTCAACTCGTATCGGCCGTGTTTCAGAGCCATAGAGAAGGACGGAGCAAATTTCTGAGCAGTACACACGTCCCTTGGTTGATAGCCAGATGTCACGCCTACGCCAGAGATGGCGTAAGTTAGCGAAAGCAGCTCGAGCTTTTTGGATCCGTGCTGAGACTTCATCGCCAATCAGTCCGTCGGTGCTGATACAACTTCCAGGACAGTAGTAAAGGCTAGACATGCTTCTTTTGCACACAAAGCACTAGTTGTTTCACGCAAATCGCGATATCCTCTGTTGTTTTGAGTATGCGGTACCTCAATGTTTTCGTCAATTTATTTGGTACCCGGTAGATGATAGAGAAGGATTCTTCAATGCTGGCTTGTTGGCCGGTTTGAACCAGATGGTTTTTACTACACCTTTACTTAGCCATACTGGGAGATGTTTCGAGCACGCTATCTAATTGTTACTTCTCACCACCAACCAATTCATTTCTTGTCTTTATCATGAGAATCCCACCTTTTTCAAAGTATCCAAGTTTATTTCTAAAATTTAACTTCAAACTGTCTGTGTGAAAGTCACATAAGTATAAATCCTCAGCATCATTCATTAATTTTAGAGTCTTCTGCTAACTGAAAACATGTTAAATTTTCAAGTACTTTATAAACATTTCTCTGTATACATGCGTAATGAAAACATGTCATATTTTTTCAAGGCCAGAAGAGAAACTGACAATCTAAAATAAAATAACCCTTCGTTTGTACAAATTGTTGCTTTTACCTTATTCATTCATTTTGAAAAGTTTTTATCCACTATAATCTAGTCAATTTGTCTAACGTATACAAAGGCGAATCCTCCTCTGCTGTGCTCACTGAAGCTGGTGTCCCCCAAGGGGCTGTACTCTCCCCACTTTTCTTTTCATTCTTTCTACATGACCTACCATCTTCAAATGACATTAACTTTGTCAAATATGCTGATGACCTAACTGTATCTTTACCTGTCAAATGTCAAAGTGACTGCTCTAAACTAAATGGCTTCTTATCAGAAATCAGCCAATGGTCCAAGGAAAACGGTCTCACCTTAAACCCCTCCAAATGCCAAACAGTTAATTTCACCTTTAGGCACAAATCTGACCCAAAACAAACTGGTTAGCACTCACGAGGTGTGCAACATAGATGGCACTGAAATCGAAACCAAGTCGGAAATTAAATACCTAGGCGTCACTCTATCTTCTGATCTTTCATGGTCGTCTCATATCTTGACGATTTCTAAGAAAATATTCCGTCTTACCTTCTACATCAAGAAGTTAAGACATTCTGGTATAACCCAACCCTAACTCCTACAATTTGTTAACTCCCGTATTCTGCCTATCATTCTCTATTGTTCCCCCTTAGTCTTTCCTGGGCTATCGAAGAAAGACTATACCTTATTACGCAGGATGTTAAAGGTTGTCAGCAGGGTAAGCAGTTTACCACTTAGCCAGCTTGTTAATATTCTGGTGGACAGGCACATGGACTCATGTGAAAAATGGGCGAAATCCATTTTATCTGACTCACAACACCCTCTACATTCACAACTCTCCCCATGTATCTCTTCAGGGAAAACCAGAAGCCTATATAGGAAACTATATGCCCGCACTAGTAAGTACAAAAACTCATCCATACCCTACCTAGCTCGTGTTCTGTGCGATAAAGAAAGCATTAGGCGTGAAACCTTTAACTTATTAAATAGTCATTAGAACAAATGGATCTCGTCTTTCCAACTCACATCATTTACAGGTACAACGTTTTCTCTCTACCATTTTTTTCATTCTGTATTTATTTTTGTTATGTGCTGTTTTGTTTCTCTCTTCCTTGCAAACTCTACTTAAAACATTCTTGTTCGTTCTTTCACACTCTGTATATCTCGACCATTTTGCTATCGCTTACGCCAGTAAATATGCTAGTAGTATCTACTTTTCTAACACCTTCAAACACTCTGTTTAAATTTTGGCTTTGCTACCGACATGCTAATATGTTGTTGTCAAAACTGACTGAGATTACTCTTAATCTATGTAGAACTTTATTTATTGTTAATGTACTAACTGGATGCAATATTGTAGTAAAATGCTGAGAATTCCATTCTGTATCACAAGTACTGATTTGGAACAGAGCTATTATCTTATCTTAAACGTTCATTGGTATACTTACACTTCAGAGATTACGACATGAACAAAAGCACATTTGATTGGTTGGTAGATTTCATCTTGAGCTGACACCAGTTATAGAACATTGGGAAACCTGAGAGTACTGGACATCCACTTCGTCCCAGTGTGGGACTTTTCATCAGTGCGCACATATGAGAGAAGTTAGGATTCCTGTGTTATTAGATTCGGCCCAGTGACTGGATGGCCCACAAGCTCACATTTTAACCTGAAGATCCTAGCGTCTGATCACCAGTAGGGACATGAGTGTACATCACCTAATGGTCCCAAACTAGGATGAAACAGCTATCCAGTACTTCCTGTTAGTCTCATTGGTTTTCTAACTGATACCAATCCGTGATCAACCCTTGTAACCAATCAAATCCCTACAAACTAAAACCTGACAAAAGCATTTCTTTTACATGTAGCCTAGGGGTATCAGTCTGCTACCAGTTACCTTCAAACAAGTTCGCATGTCTAGATACCTGTGTGAGTGCTGGTGGAGGTGTGGCTAACGAAATCTGTAACCGAATATTAAATGCTAGGGTATTATACAGCAAATTAAGCAACCTCTGACACTATCACAACGTCAGCCTGGTGATAAAACGTCGGGTTTACATAACTTTAGTGCATGCAGTCTTGCTATGCACCTGTGAATACTGACCCCTCCCAGCTGAAAATGTCGACTGAATCTGAGTATCCGGTCATCGCCGTCTCTGTAGAATTGTTTGTTTCCAGTGACATCATTGTGTGGTTAATTCTGATGTTTGGCAGCATGTGCTTGGACACTGTAGGGATCATCTTTCATTGAGTAGGGCCATTCGGAAACACTGTCTTCGGTGGTTCGGACATATGCTATGAATGTTTTCCAAGAGGCTTCTGTACCAGTGTGTACTCGATAGCCCTGGGACCGGATGGAAAATGTGGAGAGACGGCCTACCTGTGACGTGGGGTTGTGAGATGAAGGATATTTGTGTTAGATTAACATCATTCGGTACATCATGCGTCCTTCGTTAAGGTCCGAAAAACAGTTCGAATCGGTGGCTCGAAATGTTGTCAGATATGGGGAAGGATTGCAATCAATGGCAAATATACCGCAGATTCCTTCTTTCTGCTCTTTCTGAAAGTGCCATGAAGCAATGAGCGCTGAATGACCTTGAAAATTAGGCCTCCTTGCTTTCTGGATGAAATCCTTCATTTATACTCAAACTATTTTTCTTTACATAGTGTTGTGTGGCACATTTCTTGGTACCCACGTTGTACCTTTTTAAAATTATTTCCGCATAGCTGGCTATCCCACTGATTCCTTTCAATGAACCCATTCAAAATATTTTTTTTAAAAAGCTGACAATTCTGAGCAGAAACCAAAATATAAGCATAAGCATATAAACAAATTATTCTACAATGTGTTTTTTCACCTACTTTAAGCATTTCAGTAAAACTGTAATACCATTATGATTACGTAAAATTTTTTGACATTTTATTACTTGTATTAATTTTTCTAAACATAAAATAATGTAGGTTTGAAGTGGTGCCAAATTTTCAATCATTGCATTCTTTTCAATCGTCCAAAGAAACATGAAATAGTTGTCCACTTCAATGAATTTAAAAGTATCTTCAGAATTCATTTGATTTTTCATGAATTGGTTTTGCTTTGAAGAGAAAAGAAAACGGATAAATTATGAAGGAATATTTAGAAAATAGGTGAAAAAATCTGTTAGTGAAATTATGTATAAATCAAACATTTTTAAAATAGCGCTTGATAATTTAAAGTCTGAAAAGCGTTCAATGTTCAATTTGGTGGCTTGTTTGAATCACCCGGGATCACATCTTCTCATTATTTCTTTTTGTTTTAATCACTAAGTTGTGTCCTTTAGGTGTAAAATGTACGTATGTATATTTCTAATTGGCTTGGAACCTACCATTGTGTATTTTTTAGAGACGAAGAGAAAATAACACATGGAGCTTACGCTACAAATCTAACGCAGGTGGGTCACTTGATGTATAAGAATTAGTATTCACTTGTGGATCATGGACGAAGAGAAAATATTATACAATTAAGTACTCTGAGAATTATATTTTTTTTATTCCTTCACGTTCCTCAGTGGAACATAGGGTCTCAAGCTAGTGGCTTGAAGTTTATGTTGCAGTGTTTATTTTACAGGATGAAGCTGCTAGCCTCATGCCCAACCTTTCCCCTTTACCAGCATTATTTCGCGCATAGCGAGGTAAAGGAGTGCGTCGGCCGGGGATCGAACCCCGGACCATGTGCATGGTCGGCGGGCATCCTAACCGCTATGCCACCGTATATACATTTTATCCACAATAAAGTTATTATTCAAGTGTTGGTTTGTAGGGATTTGATTGGTTACAGGACATCATTTAGAGAACCATTGGAAAACCTGTGAGTACTGGACAGCTGTTTCGTCCTACTTTGAGACCCTTCATCAGTACGCACCCATCGGGATTAAAACCCAGGATCTTCTGGTTACAAGGTCAGCTCGTAGACCATTAAGCCAATGGGAACCGATCCAATGGCTCATGAATTCTAACCTCTGCCAATTCACAATGTAGCGCAACCCCTTGCCAATGTCATCGGTGGCGAATATTTGTCCTCACACCCAACCTGTTGCACCCTACTGGTCCCAAATTAGGACAAAACAACTGTCCAGTACTCCCATGTTTTCCACAGGTTCTCTAACTAATGCCAGCTCATGATGAAAGTTATTATTATCATATGAAGGGTAATCACAACTAAGAAGAATTCAAGCTATACGAACTTAATGTGCTAACAGAAGCCAACCCAGTCTCTAGTCACAACATCGTCGATAACACCATTTTCGTCTGTGCCGTAAAGTAGAGAGACAGAAGACCTTTGACAAGACAGCTTATCACTGCCTCAAACAATAGTTAAAAAGCTTGACAGCCGTGATAAGTATACAGGTTTCAAATGATTTTGACAGACATATATCTCCTGCTATGTTAGCAGAATTGGCGATCAGTCTTCACAAAGACTGAAAGATACAAAAAGCACTGTGAATATACAATAACTGTGAAAGATAGTTATTTTAAGTTGACAATCAATGATTAGGCGAAGAAATATTAATGGGATGGGAAATCAAAAGGTAAATGGTAATTATATGCAGGATGAAACGTATACATAGGTACCTAAAGCATTTTGTTTCCTACAAACATTACTGATTGTCCTAATAAATCTGAAAATGTAGTTTAATTATCTAAGAACAAGGGTTGAAAGACATCGTTCAATTCGATTTGGTTACAATAGTCATCAGTGTAGACAGTAAACAATTTACTGGACGTTAATCCAACTTAGTTATATACACAATCAATGCTAAAAATAAATTGAAGTTGGTATTTGGTGATTTTAAGAAGTCGTCAAGATACCTCGAAGCTAGGTTTCGTGCTTGCTAGTACTCGTCAGTAAGACGTACTTGCAACGACAAAAGAACTGATATCCCTTAGGAGATTCGAGCATACGTGGTCACTTTGTGTCGCAGTTAGAGGTAGTACCATCAAGCTATTTCGGGCTCACAGTGAACTCGTGTAGGACTGTGATGGATACACTGATAAATCACCAAGACCAAGTCTTTAGTCTCTTATGTTGGTAATATCGTCTCTGACTGCATCACTTCGTGACGAGGTGACATCAATTCACTCCAGGTTGCAAACACACCTTACTGATGAGTGTCTGTCTGGATTCAACATAGAACTTGGCACCAAAGTGCGGCAGTTCGAGTTGCCACGTTCCAAATAGCACACAGAGGTAGACAAGAAGATGAGTGAAGAGAATTAATAGAGTTTGACAAATATAAGAGTGAAACAGAATGGGTAATGGTAGAAAGGAATATGAAAGATTACAGAGATTGAATACATCTGCGCCATTGACAACGATTTTGAGCCATGTCACCTATTGTCTACAGCCATTGATTCCTAGAGTCCCGAGGGCCCCAACCCCACCTGGCTCAGTTTAGCTGTCAAGGATTTCATGGATTGATGCCATGTTTTTGTTTGGCCACCACTTACTCTTTTCCAACCTGCACCTATATCAGCTAACAATGCCCGTCGGGGGAGGCGGTGGTTAGGCATGCGCACCACGTGACCTAGCCATCTTAGTCTATGTAACTTTATAGCCTCGTCGATTGATTTTCCCTGTTTGCCCAACACTCTACGCCTAACGTCAACATTACTTATCTTGTGAAACCACCTAACGTGAGACAGAGATCGCAGACATCTATGATCGAAAGCAGTCAACCTTTTCATGTCTTCAACACGTATTGGCCATGTTTCAGAGCCATAGAGAAGGACGGAGCGAACTGATGAGCAGTACACACGTCCCTTGGTTGATAACCGGATGTCACGCCTACGCCAGAGATGGTGCAAGTCAGCGAAAGTAGCTCGAGCTTTTCGGATCCGTGCTGAGATTTCATCGCCAATCAGTCCGTTGGTGCTAATACAACTTCCCAAATAGGTGAAGTGGTCAACATGTTCTATCACTTCACTCCCTATCACTAAGTTAGGGGTTGACGTCGTCCAGTCCTGTAGCAGCATCTTACATTTTGCAGGGGCGAATCACATGCCAAACATACGAAGATTGCTACTCAAGGTGTTCAGAAGACTCTGCATTTGTCAGCATCCTCCCCTAACAGGACTATGTCATCTGCATATTCTAAGTCCATTAGATTATTCCCTGGTAACAAGTCGATTCCTAAGTCACTACGTTCAGTTAAGGATACTTCCATTAGCATATCTATGATGAAGTTATTCCATATTAGTTTGATTATTAAATGTATCACACAGTGAAACAGTATTGTATACTGGATGACGTTTCGAACACAATTTATTGTTCATAATCATATCAATTTTTGTCACACGACTTCGAGATTTGATTTTTATAGTTTTCTCTGTCTTCTCCTATTTGTTGTATGGGCAGTAGAATTTTCCATATATCTGGGACAGGTGTTGAATCATTCCTATTACATGTATTTGCAGTTGATTCGATAAACAAAGCTTCTGTTATCAATCTCTCCCTATACCCTGTGACATTAGATTTTAAAACTGTCATCCTATCCCATCCTATTGTATGGTTGTGTGTAACTGCATGTAGTGCTATAGCTGAACTACTCTCTAGATTTCTTATCTTATTCGGGTCAACCAATCTAGATTTAGCTAGGTTTTTATGTTCGGCTAGTCTGACTGCCCCTGTTCTACTAGTTTGACCTATGTATTTGACCTCACAATCATTGCAGGGTATTAGATAAACTAAATTGTTTTGTTTTAATGGCTCTACAGGATCCTTTAACCGACAAAGCTTGTTTCTAATTGAGTTTGTGGGTTTGAATGCCACTTTTATTCCTGCCTTGTTAAGAATTCTGCGTAAGGCTTCCGAGGTTCCTTCTTTGTATGGAATTATTGTTGATGATTTACATTCCTTATTGTTGGTGTCGTTATTAATATTATTATTATTATCACTATTATTATTACCATTATTATTATTATTGTTATTATTATTATTGTTATCATTATTATTATTATCACTATCTCTGTTATCCTTCTTTATTTTATTTTTACATTTACTTACATATTTCTTGACTAATTTATCCGGGTAATTATTAAGTTTCAAGGCTTCTTTTATGTGTGTCACTTCCTGTCTTAGATTTTCCTTGGTACTACTTAGTTTTTGTGCTCTGTCATTTAAACATTTCACTAATCCTATTTTTACTGACATAGGATGGGATGATCGGAAATCCAAATATCTGTTTGAATGTGTGGGTTTTCTGTAAACACTAGTGTTTAGCTTCCCATCTTCTTTCCTTTTTACGTTGCAATCTAACATTGGAAGTTCCCCTTCCTGACTTTCCAATTCATAAGTGAATTGAATTGCCTCTACCTTCGAGTTGATGTGCTCGAAAAATCTATCTATATCTTGTGTTCTAAGTACAGTGAATGTGTCATCTACATACCTCCACCATACTTTTGGGGTGGGGGTGAACGTTTCAATCGCTATCTTTTCCCACCTATCCATGAATATATCTGCTACCACGGGGATATTGGTGATCCCATGGCAACTCCCTCAGTTTGTTTGTATATTTTCCCTTGGAATTTAAATACTGTAGAAGTCAGGCAAAGCTGCACTCCCAGCATTATGCTGGGAGTGCAGCTTTGCCTGAGCACAAAACTAAGTAGTACCAAGGAAAATCTAAGACAGGAAGTGACACACATAAAAGAAGCCTTGAAACTTAATAATTACCCGGATAAATTAGTCAAGAATATGTAAGTAAATGTAAAAATAAAATAAAGAAGGATAACAGAGATAGTGATATAATAATAATGATAACAATAATAATAATAACAATAATAATAATAATGGTAATAATAATAGTGATAATAATAATAATAATATTAATAACGACCAACAATAAGGAATGTAAATCATCAACAATAATTCCATACAAAGAAGGAACCTCGGAAGCCTTACGCAGAATTCTTAACAAGGCAGGAATAAAAGTGGCATTCAAACCCACAAACTCAATTAGAAACAAGCTTTGTCGGTTAAAGGATCCTGTAGAGCCATTAAAACAATTTAGTTTATCTAATACCCTGCAATGATTGCGAGGTCAAATACATAGGTCAAACTAGTAGAACAGGGGCAGTCAGACTAGCCGAACATAAAAACCTAGCTAAATCTAGATTGGTTGACCCGAATAAGATAAGAAATCTAGAGAGTAGTTCAGCTATAGCACTACATGCAGTTACACACAACCATACAATAGGATGGGATAGGATGACAGTTTTAAAATCTAATGTCACAGGGTATAGGGAGAGATTGATAACAGAAGCTTTGTTTATCGAATCAACTGCAAATACATGTAATAGGAATGATTCAACACCTGTCCCAGATATATGGAAAATTCTACTGCCCATACAAAAAATAGGAGAAGACAGAGAAAACTATAAAAATCAAATCTCGAAGTCGTGTGACAAAAATTGATATGATTATGAACAATAAATTGTGTTCGAAACGTCATCCAGTATACAATACTGTTTCACTGTGTGATACATTTAATAATCAAACTAATATGGAATTACTTAATACCACAGTGCCCAAGTTTTACACATATATTAATATGATGAAGTTAAACAGAAATGGGGAAAGTGGACATCCCTGTCGGACACCACTGGTTGTTACCAATTCAGATGACAATTCCCCATAAGCCCTTACACGACTACGTGAGTTTGAATAGAGTGCCTTGATTAGTGCAATGTACTTTCTTGGCACTCCCTTCATAGACAGACATTGCCATAGTACTTTTCGGTCCACGGAGTCGAAGGCCGCCTTCAAGTCAAGAAATGTGACAATTGTTGGACGCCGAAAAATGTGTCTATGTTCTAGAATCTGTCGAAGAGTGAAGATATGATCTATGCACCCTCTACCTGTTCTAAAGCCTGCTTGATTTTCCCTTGTCTGTTCCCCGAGTTCTGCTTAGTCTATGCATGATTACTGAGCCTAGGATTTTAGAGACTATGTTCGTTAGGCTGATCCCCCTATGATTATCACACGAGGACTTTTTTCCCTTCTTGAATATCGGTATAATAAGTGACTTACCCCAGTCTGATGGAACTGTCTCTGATTCCCAGACTTTGCCTAGTACCTCAGTTAATCTACAAACTAGTATGTCACCCCCATATTTAAAAACCTCCGGAATAATTCCGTCGGGTCCTGCCGCTTTGCCTCGTTTCAAATTACTGATAGCTTTTGTAACCTCACCTACAGACGGCGGACCAGTGTCTATATCCCATTCGGGTACGTGGTGGATGGCGGGGAGGTTCAGTGTGGCTGTAGGCAAGTTAAATTGTTCCTCAAAGTGTTCTTTCCAGCGTTCAAGGCGTCTATCCTGAGAGCTAATTAAGGAGCCATTTTTCTCAGAAATAGTCTCACTTATGAATTGCTGATGAGTGACGAACGGTAAATGCACTTCCAACCGTCTAACATCATTTCAAAATGCACTGTGATGAAGAGTCGCCTAGCTTTGGGGCCACGTTGCGAAATTGACTAACTGAATGCAGTCAGCACCAACACTAATCAGTATAACAAACTGAAATGACATGAATTTCATTTTTTTTGTGTTCTTCAGATGACAGCAAAATAACTAGTTTAATGAAGATTTCGTAATTGAGTAATTTAGTTAAACGATTTATACTCTATTCTGAAAAAGAAGATTCACTTACATTATTTATTATAATTATTGTTCTCTTGGGTTCCTAGTGGAACATAGGGCTTCAACTGCACGTCTCCACTTGCCACTTCTGTCTTCCTTCCGCTGTGCTTTTCACCCGCATCCATGTTAGTCCACACTGTTTCAACTCCTCTTCACACTATCTCCTCCATGTCATCCTTGCACTGACGACCCACTCTCCCCTTCCCTTTCCGCCTGGTTCCACTCGAGCAATGGACTGACGTGCGCGCGATGTCACTCAGCGGCGGCCTCCTCAGAGAGCGAGTGTCCAATCCATCTCCACTTTCTCCTGCATATTTGTTGGATGATTGGTTCTTGTTTTGTTTGTTCCTATAGTTTCTTGTTGGTGATTCTTTCCAGTCATCTGATCTGATCTTCAGTATAGAGCCAGCGAAGACAGTTGTTGGTTGATAAAGGTAGTGTCTGCAACAGGCTGTTGGAAATATTCTTTGTGACCCGACAGCCAAGTTTCTGATCCATATAGAAGAACTGGCTTGACGTTTGTATTGAAAATCCTACCGAACTTTGTTATTGATGCTAGTTGAGTGACGAAGATTCCCAGATTGGTTTCAGGTTGATGAATGTGTTTCTCGCCTTCCCGATTCTCGCTCGATTTGACATCCTAGTCCGTTCCGACAGCCTGTAGTTGAGACGATGCTCCCTAGATAAGTGAATGAAGTAACCTCTTTCGAATCCCTCCCGTTGATGGTGATTGGCGCTGAATTTTGCTGCTGTTGTTGTTGGTGGTGGTCGGTTGGTTATTTTCATAACCTCCATCTTGTCTACGTTCACCTGGAGTCCTGTCTTTGCCGGCCGCTTCTTCGACCAGTTTGTCGGTTTTCGCTTGTAGGTCTTCGATTTTGTGTGACATCAAACATAAATCATCCACGCGCGAAATCCAGGTCTTCTAGATTCTTCACGTCGGTCCAGGATATCCTTGTCTTCTCGTTTCCCACTGTCTGACGACGAATAATCCAGTCCACCACAATTAGGAATATCATTGGTGCGATAATAAGCCAGCACCCTTGTCTGACTCCTGTGTTTACTCCAAACGCCTCGCTTAGTTTTCCATTGTGGATCACTTGACATGTGCCGTTGTCGTACAGCTGTTGAATAAGGTTGATGAACATTTGGGGTACGCCGTAGTACTCGAGTAATTTCCAAATTACTTCGCGGTCAACGTTGTTGAAGGCCTTCTCAAAGTCTATAAAGTTGATCATCAATTTTAAGTGTTTTAAATTGACTGCTTAGTGTGTTGTACTGTGAATTATTATTTATTATTATTCCTTTGGGTTTCAAGTAGAATGCAGGCCATCAGCAGCATACCTCCACTTTGTCCTGTTCTAGGCAGCCCTTTTAATTGAGACCGTTCCTTCCTTTTGAGCTAAATCTTGTTGTCATTATCGTGCAGAAGGAGATTGGTTCCCACTGCATTAGAGCTTTGACCAATGTTGGTGACATGATGATATACACTCACTCTCTCAATGTGCTCATGGTAGTCCTCTGAGTGGGTGACTGGAGTAGATCACTGACTTTCTAAATGACAATTCGGATAGTTCACATCCATTCCACCTGCTTTCACAGATTCCTAGCGCTTATAAGCCATATATTCTCATTTTTGGCTACCTAGATAGCCTTCTTAATTTCGTAAATTGTACAAACATTCCAAGTCCTAATGCTTATGTTTGCTTTAACGAAACAAGACACATCGACTAATTGGCTTCCCAAAAGCTTTCACCAACCCGCATCATTTCGCCTCCCCGATTCCAGCGAAGAACAAATTAGTCTTTATATTTTTGTCGCGCTTTGAAGTTTCTGTATCTATTGGATTGAATTTCCAGGGTAAAGCAGCTAACCCTACACCTAATCTTCTCTATTTTCCCAGGCTTTGGACAGCACGAACTAGCTTGCAATTCTAAAATAGCTTATGAATTAAATACCTTTGAGGTTTACATTAAATAGAGCAGCAAATGCCCCCTGTGATAAGCCCTTAGATGAACTGTTGAAAAGCACACTTTCTTCAGTAGTCAACTCGAATAAACCGCTTTAGAGTATCATTAACGAAATATTTTGAATTCACTAAGACCTTTCTATCCCTAGTCTTAGAAAGCAGTGAGGATTCCTTTGCAACTTTTGGATTTCAAGTAATACAAAAAAATATTTGCAGAATTACGCCTGTCACTATCAATCAGAATGACTAAAAAATTGGGAAGATTGTGGAAAACACCAAAATATAACAGAATGTATCGTAAATAAATGTACACCATTTTTTTTTACATTTTTCGAGTAACAAACATTCCACTATAACTTCTCTTGATTTACCAACTGTTCCATCTTTCTTTTCTGCAGAAAGCAAAAGCGATATGAGTTCCTTGAAGTTTTCAGATACGCCTTGCTGACGAGTACTAACCAGCACGAAACCTAGGTCAAGCAAGGCTTCCTGCCGATTGCCTCCAACCATCTAATATCATCAAACCATCGAAAATTGAATATGCAAATTATAGTTCAATAACTCACTCAAGAAATTCATCATTTTAACATCAATGAATTACTATTTTGACCTGCCTAGCAAGCAAGTGAAAAAATAACAGAAATGAGAATTACGAAGTCAACGCTTTATTTTAAAACAACACTTACCATTACAACATTTGTTTCATTAGAAATCAATGATAAAAATTTCGCCAGTACAAGCTGATTAGTAGACAGATTTTTGAAGTATTCATCTTCCACAATCAATGTATAGATTAGGCAAACTACTAATCTTTAACAGAATAGAAAAGAAAATGAGAATTATCATTTAGTTGAATTTTAGATTTTCCCGTCGACTGATTCGACCGAAGTGTTCGGTCTCAGGTTGACATGTCGGCTCCTTGTTCAGATGCTTCGACGATGTCTGGGCATGTAATTAGAGGTTAATTGGTGGTTGGTGACTAGCAGTGAAATCCATGATGCACACTTCGTCCTATTTAGGACTCGTTAACTGGATGTACCCTTCAGGACCCAAGTGACCACATATGAATCACATCTTTCTTCTCAGTTCAGTCTTTGAAGTTCCGGCAATCGTAGTGCTGTTTTTACTGCAAAAGGCGATTACCATCCTCACGCCTAACTTTTCCTCTTCTTTGGGTTTACTCTCGACGAGGTTTAGGAGCGTGTCAGCAAGAAATCATATCTGGTCCCCCTGTGTGGCTGGTGAGCATTCTATCACTCAGCTATCAATGCATATTTCACATCTATTACAGAATAAACCACAGATATTTTGTGTTTTAAATATCTTTATTACAGAACTTTAGGTTCTGATAACACCAGATACTCTGAAAATGAGCTTCAGGAGACTGGTGGTAACTATGTGGACCACCTCAGACAATCATAATTCAGATGATTCTTTTTAGTATGGTAAACTGCGAAATAAAACTGAGAAAGATTTTTACGGCAGAACTTGAACCACAGAAAGAAGACCCTAAGCACAATATAACTAACAATTAAACTTCATGTTTGAACATGAACTGATTTCAGTCAGAGAACCATTGACTCTTCAGTGGTATGCACGCATCACTTCAGAAGGTGACCATTCAACTACTGGGAGTGAACTCTGTTGCCTACGAGTTCTTACTTTTGTTGATTCGCAACCTCTAATCGATGATATCGGTGATTATATGTCCTCAGACGCAACTTGGTGGATCTTGCTGGTTATGAATTCTCACTAGAACTTCGGATAACTGCATCCTATAGTCAGTCACTAGTGAGCTGTAGATTGATTTTCAGATGTTAGGATTGCAAGGATTTGATTGATTTCAAGTTTAATCACTAAATGACTTCACTTCCATCCAGCCCCTTCTGACTTTCAGTGATTGTCTAACTGAAGCCAGTACATAATCATGCTTGAACATAATAGTTTAACGAAAAGTTTAACAAATGAGATCATACGTTAGTTGGTGACTAGCAGTGTAATCCAAGATGCGCACTTTGTCCTATTTGGGACTCGTCAGCTGGATGTACCTGCATTCCTCAGTGAGTGATGATATTCCCACCGAGGCTCAAACCCAGTACCCATAGTTTCAAATGTCAAAGCGTTATACACTAGACCAATTAGGCCACATGAGTCATCTCTTATGCAACGGGTCATAATAATTATTCAATTGAATTTAAGATTTTCCTGTTGACTGATTGGACTGAAAAGCGTCGGTGGGAACATCGGCACTCACTGTGAAATGCAGGTACATCCACTTGACTACAAGTCCCAAATAGGACAATCTTGAACAACTCCAAGCACACCAAACCAGCAACCAAACTAGTTGTGGTGGCAATAGCAAGGATTATTTTACCGGCGATAAGTTTGCTTTTGAGTCGGTCGGCAGGTGGAATTTCATAATTATCCGCTCTTAAGTTGCTTTCTGTGGTAATGAAATCCATATGAAAATTAGCGTCATCATCCTTCTCAAATTCAATCACGTTGATATGCAGTTTTGAAGTATCAATGAAACTAAGCAATGCCTTTTGGAGCTTTTCAATACGTAATGCATCAGCTATTGGTGCAGCTGCTCTGGCTTGAGCCTCCACCTCAGTCACCTCAATTCGCACGCCTGATCGAGGAACAAATGGAGGAACAATCACATTTTGAACTACCTCTGAGATGTTGAAAAGATTGGGACATTGTGGGATACCATAACATTCAGCTCGCAAATTCGATGCTGCTAAAATAAACCCCATGTGTATTGGATTCTGAGTGTCGAAATCTAATGGGTGAGGATATCTTTTTGTTCGTGACCAAAAATCAGCCCCAGTTGAAGTAACATGATCTCGAGGGAGATTGAACAAAAGTTGTGCGATTGTATTTGAAAACAAATCCTGCCACATCAACCTAGCCCACGTCACACAATCTTCGAAATTATTTGGCCTTTTATCTATCAGATTAATTTTCAAGGTTTGCAGAGTTTCCAATTGCTGGTTTCCTTGAGTTGCCAATGTTCGTTCCGAAAATGCAGAAGGATCCTGTAGGAAAGAATTCATATCTTGGTATTGATGGACGAAAACGCCCCCAAATAAATCGCGTGCCCATTTTAGAGTATGTTCAATAAGATATGGGAAATTTTTCAAAGTGCAAGGAGGGAATGATTTTTCAGGTGGATATTGCGAAGATGAGTAGGATTCTGTTAGGTAGGGAATAACAACTTATACATTTCCCTTTGTCCCTAGGGTTCCAGATTCCAATAAGGATTTACGGTAATACACACAACGACGGTCAACATATGTGCGCGCCTCTATATTATGAAGTGCATTAGCAACACCATCTAAACTTTCAAAGAAGACATCATCGTATAAATTTTCCGTTTCTGGTCCAACACGATTTTCATGAGCTTCAATATTGAGCTCTGGGTTTATGGCCTTGATAGGTGTGGAGGCAACAACAGATTTCATCTTGTGAATATCCCACGGACGAAACAAAAATTGTCTATTAAGGTTGACATGTCGGCTTTCTGTGCAGATGCTTCAACGATGTCTGGGCATGTAATAAAAATTAAATTGGTGGATGGTGACTAGCAGTGGAATCTAGGATTCGCATTTCTTCCTATTTGAACTCGTCATCTGGATCTACCTGACGAGTCCCAAATAGGACGAAATGCGAATCCTGGATTCCACTGCTAGTCACCATCCACCAATTCAATTCTAATTACATGCCCAGACATCGTCGAAGCATCTGCACAAGAAGCCGACATGTCAACCTGAGACCGAACACTTCGGTCCAATCAATCGGCGGAAAAATCTAAAATTGAATTCTCAATACAATCATACTTGAGCATGACTAAACGATAACTACCAGATAAAGTAAATGTTTAGGTTATCACTCACCGTTTTTGTATTTCATCTTCATTAGATAATAATTTTATTATCAGATTACTGTTGAACATTTTAGTTAGATGTGTACGAGAACTTTTCCTAAAATAAATATTTGACTATTATTGCACAGTTTTCATTTTCTTACTTTTGACTTAAATAAATCAGACAGCATAATGAACGTTGAACTACATGTGCATCAGGATAGTTGAGTAAATCTACTAATATCTGGAAAAGAAAAAAATAATTCTTTTAGATGCTTAGAACCTAATAGTGACAAACTTTAGAATAAACATTGAATCAGAAGTTAATTGGTGGAGGGTGATTAGCCGTGGAATCTAGGATGCGCATTTCTTCCTACTTGGGACTCGTCACTTAGTCGGTAGGTGGTGACTAGCACTGGAATCCAGGATGCGCCGACATGTCAACCTGAGACCTAGCACTTCGGTTCAATCAGTCAACCGGAAAATCTAAAATTGAATTAAACAGTAATTCAGTCGAAATTCAGGTGACCTAAGCTGGTTTGGCTTTCTATGCTGAGCCAAAATGGATACACCACTGTTGATGAACTCAGTCTCAAAACGACAGAAAGCGCGACTCGGTGTTTCGATCAATTCGATCTGGCTGGCAAGCAAGCACTATTGGTTGATACGGGTGGTGAACAACTGCTCATTCCAATCAGTCAGTAGTACATACTTTTACGTATTTATTTTTGCTTTCTTGCTTATCACTTATGATATCAAGCAGATCACATATTGTGATCGGAATAATGTTGGTCTTCAAAAGAAAGCTGAGGTGAATTCTCACTTCCTCAAAGTGTGTAAATTTAAATTACTAACTAATTTGTAAATTGAGAATTCGATTAAAGAAGTCATAAGCCACTGGATTCGGTTCCAGTAGAAGGATGGTAACGCGCTTGCACACAGACTAAAGATCCTGGGTTACACCCTTGCTGTGGAAATGGACGTACAATGTTGAATAGTGGACAGTTTTCCAGTACTCACAGGTATTCATCAGTTGTCTAACTGATGTCACTTTACAATGAGACCTATCTTCAAGAACACATTGCTTTATGTAGGCCACTAGCAACCGACTACACTCATCGTAAGGTAGAAGATGCGGATTTTTAACGCTGATGTCAAGTTAGTGCTTCTTTATGGTTCAAAGACGTAATTCCTCAAGAAAAGTATTTCCAACAGCCTGCTGCTGGCTTCAATTAGCGGATGAATCCTCTCAATACTAAAGACCAGGTGGCCAGGACGGGTTGGCAACAAGGCACTCTGGAAGCAAATCAACCAAGAGTCTACCTCCAAACATAAGTGCTAAAAAAACAGAGGTGGATTAGACACACACCGAAGAGACCGTTGAGTAATATCGCACGCCAGGCAGATCCTCAAGAAGGACCCGAATGTGAAACGACGAGTTGGGCGTGAGTCTGCAGGTGATATGGAGTAGACCATGTGAGGAGAAGATGAAAGCTTATCGCCAAGAATGAAGCCGACTAAAGAGGACTGCAGAGAGCAGTGTCAAATGGACATATGCTCTATTTTCACTCGCAACCCAAGGGAATAATATTAAACAACACTTTCTCTAATCCACTTAAGAATCACGCCAGTATTCATTTAAAGGAAAAGATCCACTTCAACATAATAATAAGTACATTGACATTATCTGTCTCCTGATGTACACAGTAATTTTCTTTTCTGTCCAGCTAAGCGAATTTAGATGTTAGTGTAGTTGAACAGTTCCACCAAAAGATGTAATCTAATTTACTTCCCCGAGTAGCATTATCATTCCAAATATCATGTACTATTACCAAAATTTTACTTATGAGCATACCTCACACAAAAAATTAAACATGTGTCTTAACTCCACATTTGACAGACGAAGTCGTTACACTTTACAATTGAACGAAACGTATCATCAGAAACTGAACAGAGAGCAATCACTGATTAATTCATGAATCCGTTAGTTAAGTCGATATGATTATTCTGCTAACTGGTGTCATCTTGTACTTTCAACATACATAGCCTGAAGGAAGTAATCAGAGCTATGAATCAAAAAAATTCAAGTTAGTTAAATTATTTGATCTGATATCGTGAATATATTTTTAATGCCGCATCCTAACTATCATATCGGTTTTGTTTATATTAGATAAAACTTCATTTGAATACTGGCGTATTCTGACAGTTGTTTATTTCTCTCCGCACTTTAATATTTAACTGTGAATAGTTCACAATCAGGTCAAACAACTCTGTCTTACTGACTTAAGAAGTGACAAAACTTTTACGATCAAAACTACAAAGCTGATGGAGCACTTAGCAGTTATACACTTCATTCTGGACTACAAATCTTCTGTTTCTTACACAATTCATCCTGTTCAGAATTATTAGAGTCCGAATATCTTTATACAACTGCATACTGTTTCATTCAAATGTACGCGACTTGACTTTGAGAAGTTGAGGCATATGAAAATGAGTAGAAAACTGTCGGAACAAACAGTTATCACCCTAACTCAGAAATAATTCGATGATTTTTCGACGAAGCGACTCTTCGTTTTCTCCATTTTCTTACAAACTGACTCTGGTCATCTAACATCAAGCAAATCTCAGCATCTAAAAGTTGTGTAACTTGGTTCAATAGACAAAATTGTACAACTTATTGATAGAATTCTACTAAAGTTGAGGAATGACAGCTTCATTTCTTACACTGGTAAAATCTGAGCGGTAGAGGCACTTTTAAGGCTAAAGACAACGCTTAAGGCTAAAGACAAGAATGACACTGATACCCTTGCGATTGAAATTTGTTATGTGATTCAGATGCCTAAATCAGTTTAAATTACTATCCCTGCATTCGCAGACTTCATTTTTCTCAGGGTCATTTATTAGCACTTTAAATGAGCTTGCATTAAGCTGTCGACTGTTACAAGAACTCTTTTTCTCCATCATCATAAAGTAATTGCAGCGTTATGCATCTTTCCTTAATTTGCTTGAAATATGTTTTTGTTGCTTCCAAGTATCTTCTGTTTAAATATTAACTCCGATTACAAAAAATGTTGTACATCTTTCTCATTCAGCAACATATTCAGATGCTTATACAGATGTAAGTTTAACTTATAAATTAGGAACTGTACAACTACTTGAATAAATATTTTCAAAAATATTTCCGAACTAACCTTTATTGTACATTGGTCATTGAAAGAAGTATCACAGTTCAGATAAACAAGAAGATTCAGCATCAGGTCTGTTAACAGAATTATTAGCTGATTTTTAACTGTTTCATTTTTAAACTTGTCTGAAATTTTTTCCAGGAAGAAATTGACGACAACTATTAATTGCCTTACCTTTACCAGACGAGTATGAAATACTTTGATCCTCGCGTTCACTTAAAATGTCACAAAGAAGCTGAACAGTTCCAAGTATCAGTTGAATATAATAACTTACTGTTAATGTAAGTGAAAGTAGATCATTCATGAGATTTACAGGAAAATCAGTGGGCTGATTTAATCCAATACAGAAATTAAAGAAGGAGATTCCAGAAAACAAGGAAGGAACATCAAGATCTGCCAGTGTATTTCTATAACAATTCGATTCACATCTAGTAAGACATTACTTATTTGTAAATTTCTTTTTCAACAGAATTGCACACAGTTTTCGAAGTTTTGGACTATTGTTGCCCATACAGCCTTCTTTAGTTCCAGTAACAATATATTTCTTCAAAAGGCTATTGTCAATACATACAACCTCAGATTCTTTCATTCTGCTGCAAATGCTAGGTTGTGTATTAGCAATCTTTGCCTGTCCGTCTGTTTACCTTTACCAAAGTCAGATTCATCTGTGTGCAGTGATAATTTTTGATAGTTTCGCTTTAAAGTGTGCCACCAGATCAACCATCAAACAAATAATAATATTCTGAAAAAATGAAAAAGGGTGTTAGCGTTTAAAACAATGGTGATTTCATGGTACACCTTCAAGCCAGAAAAATGCAAATGATGTCAAAATGATCGAGTAAACTAATTAAAATGACGAACAAGCAATACGTAAGAAGGAACCCAGAAAAATGAATTAAAATAAATAACCAATGCAAAATAATGCACAGTAGTGAAATACTTCAACCAGTCCCACTTCATAAAGCAAGTATAAAAGTAGAGGAAAGAAATACCTTGAGACCAGAGCTGAATATAAATGCACAGGTGAAGAAATAAATAACAATGAGGATTTTCATAATCCGGAAGGTTATAAGAAGCACATATATATATATATATATATATATATATATATATATATATATATACGTGAAAAGGAAAAACATTTAGAGTCATCCCACCAACAGTCTAAAACCAATCACTCTGAATGTCTTGGGAACATCAGCCAGCAAGTAACTACATGGCTCCAATCAACATCCAGACACATTTTGTCTTGATTCGAATTTCTAGTATTTCACCGATCCATCTTTGCATGATTATTTGGCTATACTTCCTTCCTTTCAATATTGATATGCTTTTTATGGTTTTGACTAAGATTAGTTCATTGAATAGGCCTATTTTTCCATTTAGCATAAAGAATTTAAAAGGCAATCGAGATCGTTTTATATTCTCGCTTAATACTCAAGCAATTTAAATTTTGGTTATAAGTCAAGATATCCGAAAATACAAAAAACTAACGAGTTTTTATTCTCTGATACAAAACTTTGAGAAATATATTTAACATCACATGAATTGTGGAATATAAAAGTAAACATATGTTTAAAACTGCAGTTTTACTTACTGAAATGTCAAAATGATGATTGTATAAAATGCATAGTTGTATCAGTAATCAACAATGAGCCTATGCTGCTAACAGTACTCTGGCATACACCGACCTAACTTAGCACACTGTTATGCTATGTATAATAAGAAGGCGCATAAGTACAGTTATTCGTGCAGATTTCCCTGTATTTCAGCTTCACTGCGTTTAGTTTCTCAGTCATTACCTGTATATTTCACGGAGTATGACAAACTAAAATGATCCATTTTGTGCAGAGCTCTACTCTCATGGCTCAGGTTAAGTTAAGGTGAGGTAATAAAATTCCTGAAACAAAAACTCTTTTAAATGATCGAAATGGTTTTCTCACTTGCTTTTTAATTTTTCTAATCTAACTTTGTCTAATAGCAACTAGTTCATATGGCAACAGACACGTCGGAACCAGGTCGGAACACCTTAGGGGACATGGCAGGAGAGTTCAAAAGCCAAGAAGAAATCATACTGCTGTGGAGTGCTGATTATCACACCGAGTCAAAAACTCCTGGAACTGACCCATAAAAGAAGTGGTGTTTGTAACCTCAACTGATTCATTCAATAAGGATTTGGACAACCACAGAAATTTACTAGAAAAGTATTAACATGGGCTTCAAGCCTTCTGTCCACAACCAATAAATCTGAATCTAAATCTAAAACATACACGACTAGTGGTGGAATAGCGAATGAATAGTGATTACATGATGTGGCTTTTCCACTGCCCTCATGTTTTACCTCTTGGTTTTCCATTATTTTCACATAGGTAATCATCGTTTCATCAATATATTCCCAATTTCCACGTTTGATTAAAAATGATTTGTACACCCTTCACCTCCACTGGGCAAGTTTTTTCTAGTTTTCACTCTTCCTCCCTGGAAATTTAAATTTAACTTTTTCGAAAGCCAATAACACGTAGAAACACTTTTCCAAAAACTATGAATTCACAGGCTGTTTTATAATAACGCGCCGACGGTAGTGCGTTAAGTTTTGCAATACTAGGTCTATATTACAGTAGAAAAACCTACTCAAGCATCTTTTACTGTAATAAGTATTCCGTTAGGTCAAATTAGTCGGGAATAAATGTTAGAAAGAAAACATAACCATATGTATCTTGAAAATCCCCATTTAGTCATATGAAAAAGAGAAGACGTTCAGCGAAGAGACTCTTTTCGGCGAATTCATTCACATAGCTGTACAATCGCATTTATATATAATTATTTGAGTGTGTGTGTGTACATGAGGTTTGTCAAAATTAGATAATTGATCAGGTAATAAAAGAATGATCTAATATAGAAACAAAGTTAATTGGACAGCAACTAAATTAAGATTGAGTTAGTAAGTTAGATGACGTAATACAATTGACTAAAATGTTTTAACTTAGGTCAGGTTAGCAACAGAGGTAATTACAGGTAGAGACTAAGTAGAAGTGGGGTAGATAATAATGCCATTTAGATTAGAAATGAAATTGAGCAATTAAGTTGGATGACGTAACATAAATGACTATAAATTGAGCGTTGGTCAGGTCAATTAAAGTGGTAGTGAGGTGTAGAAATTCAATCGGGTAGGGGTAGAGACAAGAAAGTTGAAAATGCAAAATATTACAATTGAGAAGACAGAATAATACCAATGAAGAGACAGAAAAAAAAAATTAGGTAGAATTTACCTTTCAGGTAATAATGTAGGTTAAGTCCATTGTAAGTTTAGTGATTGAACGAACCTCTTCTGTATGCAGAGTTCAGGGCTTAGCAAGTGAATCGCCATTGCTTCTGCAGTTTGAAGAAGTCTGATTCGTACACCTTTTGGAAGACTACTTCTTACTCTGTAGACGACTTTGAAGTTTGTTTGGGGTGCAGCTTGGTGTCCGGATTCTATCAGGTGTTCTAAGATGGAGCTGCGGGGACATCGCTTTTCTCCTTTGTAAAACCATGCTGGTAAGTGTTCGGTGATACGCTTGGAAAGCGAACGCTGGGTACGGCCGACATACCTGGCTCCGCACGAGCAGGTGAATTGGTAGATACACATTGATGAGGCCAACAGTGGTAGCTTATCCTTCACGTTCACATGAATCATAGGTTTTGTGGAGAAAGTTAGTCGTAGTTCAGCTGCGAAGAAAGTCTTCTTGAGTGAGCGCGACAGTCGATTTTTTAGTATTTCCGCAGATATATCTCCATTGAATTGAAGGTTTATGTAGAGCGGTTTCTTCGGGACGCTATGCGTGGGCGGCTTTTGTGGCCTAGGATTCATAGATTTTGCAATAAATCGTTCTGGGTAACAATTCTCGACGAGGATTCTCTTGAGATTGTCCAGTTCATCTTCTACGGTGTCCGGGGTACAAATTCTGCGAACTCTGTTGCTAAGTGAACGGATCAGGTTCCGTTTGGTGTATAGGGGTACCCAACTGTGGAAGTTAATCAGCTGTCCGTTCCATGTTGACTTTCTGTAGATAGATCTTTTCAGTGTTCCATCGTGTTCTCGTCTTGTTAGTTGGATGTCAAGAAAGGATATTTTAGAGTTGGACTCTTTCTCCAGCGTGAACTGAATTGCGGGGTGGCACTTGTTAAACGACTTCAGGATGTCGTCTAGATTCTCTTCATTCTTGACGATAATGAAAGTGTCGTCGACGTATCTCTTGTAGATTCCGAAGGTATCGATCATTTTCTTCATGCATGTGTTTTCGAGTTTTGCCATGAAGAAATCTGCAAGTAATGGGCCTAGTGGTGAGCCCATAGCTATACCATCCTTTTGGCGATATATTTCGTTGTTGAAAGAGAATTGAACATTCAGGGTACACCTCAGAAGGAGTTCTTTAAGACGCTCGGTGGGTATACCGATGTTTATTCCTTTGGAATCAATAAGTTCGCATACATGGCATATTGTTTCAGTCAGTGGAACATTTGTGAATAGTGATGTGACATCTAATGAGATCATGGTCCTGTTGGATACGTTGATGTTTTCAATTGAGTCGATAAAGTCGAATGAATCTCGAACTGTGTGGCAGGAAACTTGTCTTCTGATTGGTTCTAGTAGATCTGCTAGCCATTGGGCTGTGCGGTGATAAGGCGAATTGGTCATGTCAAGGATCGGTCGAAGAGGGATACCGTTCTTGTGTACTTTCGGAAGTCCATAGAGTCCATCCAACCGAATACCAGAACACTCAGACGACACACACGAAACAACATCGACTCCATTCAATCACGCGTGTTCGAGCTAGAGCGAAACGTCTACTCAAGAGCTCATGCAGTCGAAGACTTAGATCAAGATCTACGCCATTCCTTCGAAGAATATGTGCAACAAGTCACTCAGAAAGAATGCAACAAGACTAAAGCAGATCTGCTCAAAAGTCTAAAGCCTACAATTAATACCGAATCTCCGTTCCCAAGCAATCCAGAAAAATACGTATTCAATCTTTCAGACATCACACTATCTACTACCCAACTAGAGGCACTATCTCTAGGTCCGAAATTCTGCGTAAAACCACAATGTATTGACAAGCTACAATGCCAGATTCAGTTTGAAAATCTAATAAACCAAACCTACGATCTCACACCCACATCAGATGAAAACCTACAACAACTCAAAGCATCAATCCTCGACAGTTGTCACAAGTTTATAAATACCAAACCCAACGGAAGGTCCATTTTGACGAAGAGGCATTATAAGGAGCTGAAAGAACTTATGAAAAACGAAGAGATTATGATATTACGTCCTGATAAAGGCGGAGGAATCGTTATCATGAATCGTAAGGACTATATCAGTAAGATGCTGACTATACTATCCGATGAATGTAAATTCACAAAACCGGTCAACGAGAAAAACATGACTGAACAGACCGAACAAAAGCTAACGGACACCCTCCGTAAGCTAAAAACTGAATCTTTCATCAGCAACGAAACGTTTGAATCCATAAGACCATCCGGCTCAAATATACCACGACTCTATGGACTTCCGAAAGTACACAAGAACGGTATCCCTCTTCGACCGAT